TGTAGTAAGTTGAAGTTTATGATTTTTCAACACCATATTAACATTAGAGATCAAGTTGAAAAGTGAAGTCCTAAAATTAACGGCGAAATATTGGATCTTACAGCTAAATCTAAAGATCTCACAGCGCAATCTTCGGATTGCACAGCAGGATCTTCGTATTGCGCAGCGTAATCCCGAATTGCATAGCCTGGACTGTGCAGCGCAACTGTGGGGGTGGAACTCTGACCACAGTGTAAATTGGATTACACACCCATGTAGGAATATTATATTGCACTGCGAAGTCCTTGATTACATACTGAAGTCTTGGACCTTGCAGCGCATAGTGAATCTTGTATTGCATAATGGAATCCTGGATCGCATAGTAAAATCTTTGATTGTGCAGTGCAGCGCAACTTTGGTTTGCACAGTAGAATCCTTGATTGTATAGTGAAATCTTCAACTGACAGAATGTTGGATTGCACAGAGAATCTTGCATTGTGTAGTGGAATCTTGGATTGAAAAGTGGAATCCTTGCATTGTACGGTGAAATCTTTCATTGCTTTGTGGACACAACGAAATTTGATGTGGCAGTTTCAGATGTTCATACCCCAATTCTAGCGGGAATTTAAATAAACAATGAAATCGTATGCCCATTTGCTCTCAACCTCATATCTCATTGCACCCCAGGGTAAAACATTTTATGTTTTAAAGTGATGAACATTTATGCTCTTACTTTACTTCCTACATAGGCGTTATTCTAACTATATGTATATAACATGGCCCAGGGGCGTTGTAAGGGCCATGTTCTTGAAGCAACGACTGCAAGTTTTATATCTAGATTTACGGAGTTAAAGCGAGATCAAGCCTTCTATTGAATATAGATAAGGGCCAAAGGCCCGTGGGTACTGGCGGTCCCATGTGGCACAAAATTGTAAGCGGGGGGGGGGGGGGGCGGATCCCCGCCTTTGGGAAAAATGGAGAATGATAAAATCGAAGGTCTATTTCCTAGTATATCTGCAAGGTAATTCGATGCGTCGTTTCGTCTAACAAACCCACCCCATCCATGAATATATCTAGCAAAAAGATAAAGTGAATAATGAGAAATGATCTGATTTAGGCCTAACTATTAAACATGCATGAAACATGCAATTATTTAGGCCTGAAATGTTATCTAAATTATTAATTAGATATTAATTAACTTATCCAGACCATAATCAACCCTCGTTTCCATCGTTAGCCTGGGATATTTAGTGGATTTGAATACATTTTCTAAAAATGGATAATCGAGATTTTGTTTATTATCTTTAGTAATGACGATTGAGGCTAGCCTAAAATTGAATCGTTAATATCTCGTATCTGAAATTTTCAGCATATCCTGTTTTCATTATCTACTTTTTAACTATTATAGCGAGAACCGTAAGCTCTTTATCTAGTCTTACCTAATGCCTCTTTAATTTACTGTGATAGGGACAAAGTTGGAACAGAATTCAGTGGCAACTGAAACCTCGCATTGAGATCGATACGGATCCGACTTCATCTCTCTCCAGGCCCGTAACTAGCGAGTAGGAGGTGGGGGGGGGGGACCCCGGAAAAAAGTATCCTATAACAATAGTGTAGTTCAAATATGGTGGATTATTGTTGTTACTTTGCCTCATCAGCAAATGACCGGTAAAACTGTCTAAAATCTTCTGACATCGTTTTATTTACTGTCTATTGACAAGACAAACTTCTGAACATGTGAAAATTCCATTAGACATCAGTTTATGAATCATGGTTGAGAGATAAGGTTTGTTATCTACATGTACCCCAGCCCAGACCCCGCTTGTCATTCTAAAAACTCCTCTCATTTGGCCCACTATATTTTCCTTTCTAATTTTCTTCAACTTTTTTTTTTTTCTTTGGAAAAATTTTATGCGAAATAAAATAAATATGATAGTAAATAGTGACGCAAAAAATAAGACAGAGTGGCACAAATAATCAAGTGGCGCACGAGTATCTGTACTCGCATCCTCACTATCACCACGCCCCTGATATAGCCTATCAATATTGTTCATGATATCTATACAAGCTACGCATATATATCTAGATATTTTTACTAACAACAAATATGCTCGGGGCTAAACCTAAAAGTATTCTAACGGTTAAGCGCATTAAATATAGCATTTTACTTATTAACAAACAAAAATGAAATAAAAAAGAAAGTTCACCATGCAACCGTTGAAAATCAAATAATATTTTATGTTCGAGACGTTTAAGTATTTGTTTTGTACACCACAGTATATTATGTATATGAGACCACTTACATGTATAAGTGCAACCTTTGATTTCAATAATTGATTGAAGACAAATTAGACAATAAACAGTACCGAGTCGACATACCTTCACTTATTTCAAATTCCAAAGAATAAAACTATTTCATTTCAAGTGATATGCATACATTTGATATCACTGTTTATTATCTTGTGGAATTCAAACATCGATGACTAATATTTGGATAAAATTTAAGTGCAATCTATATACATACAGTGATGGCTAGCGCCGAACGAGAAAGTGTGTCAAAGATAAAATTGAAAATCAGTGCTTCTCCTAACTCGTTGATTACAGATCTTCGTATCCTAGAAAAAAGATCTATATAGGCCTATGTATATAAATTTTCAAACGGACAGCGTTCATGAACAATATCTATTAAGTATCTTACCTATTATAAAATCTCTACCTCTTCGCATTAAAATAATGTCACTAGATTAATCCTAGAGTAGTTTCAAATCCAATCCGTTCTGAAACGTCAATCCTCAATTTACACACTATATTTTTACGTTCGTTATAATGTGACGTCACACATCAGTCAACAAAATACATTAGCTACTGTTTGTTACAAATGACTCTTCTGAAGCTCAAACTAACAGCCTATTACTTCAATACCTCTGGTTTAGTTTATTACCTACACCGACCTCTACTTTCCCTTTCAACATAACATAGGTAATGAATAATGTACAAGTCCAAGGTATATTTGATGATCATTTTTAACCAGTCTTTTTATGCCAATTACAATGCTAACTTACTTATCGCTTAATAATTTTTTCTCCATCATCCAGTTAAGTGTCGTATGCAGTTTATTGATAATAAATTTACTTAACAAATAAAAGATTGCATGTTGTTTTTGGCGCTATTGAGAAGTTTATGAGAGTTATTTATAACTGAATATATTTCTTCAATGGGAACGTGTCATTATTCTAGTGAAATAAACGTGAATATTTCAATAAAGATTTTTATGAAAACACAAGTGCCAGACTCATAAGAAGTGATATCTATGATAGATATAAATGTATAAATGTATAAGTAATGGGTAATGCTATTTCCCATTTATTTACTTGTAGGGGCATATAAGTATAATTAATTTTATAGAATTTCGTATTTAAAATAACCCTAGTCTCACCTGATTATTGACAGTCCAATTAGGTGCTGTATTGGCATGTTCGACTGTATCATCTATGTTATTATGTATTATATATATTCATGTATCTTCTGATGAAGATTTGGAATAAAGATTATTATTATTATCGCTTCTGTGTTTATCAGTTTTGGTGGCCGAATGGTCAAACGCGTACGCTTTAATTCATAAGGTCTCATTGAGTCAAGGAGTATAGGGTCGCCCGAAATTACCTAGTTTGCGTTGAGTTGTCACCACTCTCTCTCTCTCTCTCTCGCTTATTAGTTTGAAATTTACTGCGGACGAATAGGCAACTATCTAGAACTTTCAACAATGGTGTAGTCAACGCCCTGTAAACAAATCTTCCCTATTAAAACTTAAGAGTGAATTTTTTTACAATCGTTATATAGAAGTTGATTCAGGCGTTATATTTGAAGGGAAAAAAAACAACAACATGTAAAATGTATGGTGGCTGAAAGCGTCCATTTAGATCGGCGTGTTTCTAGATACAACGCGAGAGTCGCCGTTAAGCCAGCACGACGAAAAAGGCGCCGATCGGCGACTTCTTCGTCGTACTACCTTATCGGCGACCCGCGACTTTCACAACACGAGAGTCGACGTTAAGCAAGTCGCCGAAAAAGTCGCCGAAAAAATCGGCGCCTTTTTCGGCGACTTGCTTAACGGCGACTCTCGCCTCGGAAGTTTATAGTTAGTTACATGCGCAATGGCTACATTTTACTTCTTGTATATAAAATGGAGGAGCTTTTGGATGAGTTAGGACTTGTAGGCTAGCCTACTTTCTGCCACAGATGGAGCAACATGTGGCAAACTCTTGCACAAAAGCATGTATGAGGTTTACAATGAAAAACTTGAAATACGCAAGCTGGAAGTAGGGACAAGTAAACATGCAATTTTCGGCCCTACATTTCAACCTAACCGACCTCTCAAAATCATGAATATTCACCAAAACCTGGCAGAAAATGTATTATCAAACCCCTTTCTTCGATTCTACACCAAAAATCGCCATTCAAAAGGGGGGAAAGGGAAAGGGAGAGAAAGACTAAAAATAACTTTCGCCCTACATTACGGCGTAGAAATATTTGGTGATCTGTGTGCGTAAAATGTAGCCATTGCGCATGTAACTAACTATAAACTTCCGAGGCGAGAGTCGCCGTTAAGTAAGTCGCCGAAAAAGGCGCCGATTTTTTCGGCGACTTTTTCGGCGCGTGGCTTAACGGCGACTCTCGTGTTGTGAAAGTCGCGGGTCGCCGATAAGGTAGTACGACGAAAAAGTCGCCGATCGGCGCCTTTTTCGTCGTGCTGGCTTAACGGCGACTCTCGCGTTGTATCTAGAAACCCGCCGATCTAAATGGACGCTTTCAGCCACCATAAAAATGGGCTAATGCTAAGAAATCTTATTACATTATATAACACTGAACTCGTGAACTTCTGTAACACATATTAACGGCCACTTGTTAGAGATTTAACTACATGTATTTTGTATTGTCGTTTACAAATTAGTTATTATAAATCGAATTAACCTAATATAAATACTCAACACATAAATTATTTAATAAGGTTGATGCCCACAAAAATTGTTTTTTTATTGCCAAAGACGTACAATAGTATTACAGGGTATACGTGTAGTTTACAAAATGGATAACAGACATTTCTAATAGCCCGGGATAAGTCTTAATATTTGATTGGAAGTAGCACGTTTCAAAACCTTGTAAGAAAAGGACCGACGGATGACTCACTGACAATATATGAAGTTAATTGAAATGGGGGTTTAACGTCCTTTTTTCTGTTTCGACGGTGCCAATGTGCTTTGAGGGAAATTTACCGCCTACTCTTATTTCGAATTCCAACTGTCAAGGGTTCTTTTTCATGTACGCCAATGTGTACACGTTACCTCGGTTTTTTGTCCCATTCGAACGACTATACGTTGTCCCTTGTCAGGCCCTCCACCTGCACCACTGACAAGGGGTAACCACGCCGGGGAAAATCCTGATGATGAACTTTCCACTGGCATTAAAGTCTAAGTTATATTAAGTTTACTTGCAGGGACACCAGGGATAGCGGGTGCTTTTTGGACCTGGGGTGTACAGTTTAGGATTTTTCATGTGTTTCTTTCAAGTTGTTTATCCAGTTAAGACCAGTTTCTATTCAGATTTGAGCAGCCTGAAACCCTATCCCTTAAAAACCTGTTTTATACATGATCAAATATTTTCTTTAAAAAAAAGTAATATGTACGTGTGAATTTGCTATCAAAGAACCGCGTTGTTACATATACAAACACAATAGAATATTGTTCATGTTTTACATTTAATAGAATAATAACAATATCAATTTCATCATATTACTCACATATAGTATACAGAAGACAATAGCAAACAGAATCATGCACCTTGATCTGGGAACAATTTTGTTGATGCAGACTAGAGTAATAATGAAAGTAATAATTTCTGCGCGATTTGTTTTGAAAGTGGGTTCGCGTAATTAAACCCCCGTTTTTGGAATCTCTTTATAATTTTCATTCCAAATCGAATGTTGAGTATTTAACTAAATATATCATGTTTTTAGATCACGCATTATTCACTGAATAAAAAATTTACAGTGTAAATCGTGTTGAAAACGGGTAATCATGAACCTCTTAAATAGACTGAAATCATCGAAATTCTTAGATTGATGACACAGACACATTTTTTGCGGTGACCATGAAAATTGTTACAACATAGTTAATCCTGATGTATTATAAATAGTGAGATCACGTACAAACAGGTTCTATAACTTCCTCTACATCATGGGTTACAATGTTCTAACAACAGACGTCACGTAAGAGACGTGACAATTTCAATTTTTCTCTATCGGTGTCCTGTCGCTCCGGATACGTCAATTTTATTTCATTACACTGACCAATTTACAAATTCCCAAAACTGTTCTATATGGAATCTTTACAAACATTTTTTTTCGAACACCCCAAAACTTTCTTTGACAGTGTACAAAGATAGCTCCTAATTCAATGCTATGTGCATTTTCAGTATTCAATTAGTAACAACAGCATTCGTATTTATCACACTAATCTTTTTCAGTTAGTAATATCAGTTGAGCCATACAAACGAACATTGGAAGAGACAACCACTAAAAAGAAACTAACCATGTACCGTTAGCATCTCGGGTTAGAATCGCAAATTCTGAATTTACAGATCGCGAACGATTAGGTCTTTTCGTACTGTTCTGTTGGTTCACATTCTGTTGACTGTCGTTTTGCTCTAAGAGCATCTTGGGTTTAGCTTTACAAATCCACCAGGATTTATTAAAGTCTATAAAAAGTAATAAACATCCCAAACCATGAGTAACGAGGGCGGAAATGGCAACAAAGAACGACCACGATAGTCTAAAATCTGCCATCTCATGAATGTACATGAGGAGTACCAATAAAACACACGTAACTGAAATAAATAAAGAAATTGAAATGAAGAGATCGTGGGGAAGGAGAGATCACGCTATTATCTCACTCGTTCAAAATATAGATTTTCTTACATATAAAATATAGACTGGACCACCACATGTTCCTGAAGCAACTGAGTTTTAGATGTACGGACGGAGTTAAACCGAGATCAAGCCTTCTATTGAAGATGGGACCATCAGTGCCTCAACCCCACTTGGTGCAACCTTCGGATGTACATGTACCTTTTTTTATCTTTGGTTGGTAATTTATCCAGTGTGTCTTGATGATGCAAATGTGGTATCTCCCTGAGGAAATTAGATGGAACCAACAAAAATCAAGTCAAATTGTATATGTCACCGAAGGGCGATTTTCTGTTGGGAACTTTGTCAGGAAAATCCATCGCTCAATGTTTACATCACTATGCAGAAAACTGAAGTAGGGTGGTGGACTGAAGAACGTGCAAACCCGTTAAATATACTGATGATAAAAATCATCAATTCAAATGATCTATAAAGACAAATTCCCGGCAATACTTACAGTATATTCCAAATAAACTAAAATGTACACCAATCAGTTCTTTTATATAATTCCTGACTATTTTCAGTAGTAGAAGACATACTACTAATAGTATCTTCATCAATAAAGTTAATAAAGCTATCAATATCAGTATCTGTGCTGCTTCTTGCCACTGCTTATCTATAAAACAATAAAACAAAAAATTAACATCAAGAGTTCTGTCTACACGAGGGGGGTTGGATGGCTGAATGGTTAGCGTGCGCGCGCTGTATCATAAAGTCTGTCATTGAGTCGACTGGCGTGGTTTCGAATCCCCGGTTGTACGTGGCAAGGAGTAGGGTCGCCTGTCCAACCTCGTGGGTTTTCTCCGGGTCCTCCGGTTTCCTCCCACTGCTAAAGACCCCTACGCGCAAGCGCATTATGTAAATAAAATTAAACCATATGTTAGTCCCGAAATGACCTAGTTTGAGTCGAGTGGACGTTAAACCCCATTTCTCTCTCTCTCTCTCTCTCTCTCTCTCTCTCTGTCTACACGATGTAAAACTTTCATTATTCCGAGAATCCACGAGACGCTGAACTAACGATAACATTTTTCGTTTAAGTTTCCTTGAAAACTATGTTTGGTCTTGGTGTAGAAAATTAGGAAGTTAAACTCTATTTCATTCATAGTACCCCTGCCCCCACCCTCTTAACAAAGACATTCATACCAATAGAAAACTTCCAACCCCAACATGCCGCAATAATATGTTCAATTGCAGCGCGAAATTTAGCACGTGGCAATCGAGTAACTTTTAGAGGGTTGGGAATCCTCTAAAGCTACGTATAGTCCCGTAAATAGGGGCAAAAACTCCCCCGCCCCCACCCCTGTGAGAAAATTGTCGACCATAAAAAAATAGATATATATTGTCCGTCAATTTTACAGCACCCCTGAGAACCCCCCCCCCCCCTCCACACACACTCGTTGCTCTGAGCTAGATACGGCCCTGGCTACTATATCCCAGAACTGCATACTTACCATTGTTAAGCAACTTTGAAGCAAACACAGACCTTGAACAAACGGTGGTCACATCATCCACGTCCTTGCATCCCAGCCATAATCCAAAGTTTGCTCGATTCCCTTCCAAACTTCCTTCTGCCCAGTAATTTGTTGATATAGATATTATATGGAGTATTAAACCAACTATGTGAATTACAAGGGTGATCATGTAGCGACGGTTTATAGTATCATTTATATATTCTAACATTCTTATCAATAAACCCAATTACCTGAAATAAAAAAAATCTATACTAAATTTACAATAAATATATCGTTAATGGAAACACAAATTATAAAGATTTCGCCTTCTTTGAGTTTTGTGCTACAAAGAAAATATAAGTCTGCCCATTTTTTAATGCGAGAAAAACTGCTCGACAAACCTGCTGAATATAATATTACATAGACTATTTCAAAAGTAGGCCATGCCATATATTTTAAGGCTATACCATGTGAATACTGTTGGTGATACACAGTTACATTGGTTTCCATAGTGTATTGCGCATGGGCTAAAGCATATTACGCTATACAGTACAAAAACAGAAAAAATAAAATCAAAACTATTTGCAAGAACATTTGAAATTTATATTTGTGACTGTCGATTCAAGGGAAGGAACTCCATTTCATACTGCAAAAAGAACGCCTTGATCTATGTTCTATATACTTGTCAACTGATTGACCAGTATTCGTCAATAAAAACTGTGAAGATTATGGAAACAGTAACTTACGTACCGTGATGATATTCTTCTCTTCCTAAATGCATCCCATCAGTTTTCACAATAGAGTATAATGAACACGATGACGAACTTTAAAAATTGTTACAAATTGTTTCAATAGCATTTAGTAATTGAACTGGAATATGTATACACGTCACAATTCTATGGAATACAATTCCTGCTTATTACTGAGAGACGTTTCCACTGCTTGATAATGACTAGAAAAGGAGTAATTGTACTCCATAGAAATGTGACCTGTATATAAGTTGTTACAAAGTCAGGGTATCAAACAAATATCACTGAATATACCGGCCTCTCCTAGCTAGGTAACACGTTTAGGAACAAAAAGATTCAAACACCGCAATGACCTTTAGCCTTTACATACACTATTTACCGTAATACCGTGTTATATAAGAACAATCGAACCGTAAACACAGAAAGCCATGAAATACCGTAGTGCAGTAGGCTTGGGAGTTGTATATTTTCATTCTGCATATTATTTTGTTTCACTATATATATGCCAGTTGTGTAACGCATATCATATGGCGCATTCATGGCGTACATTTCTTATGTATTGTATATTCTATGCCAAAACTTCATAATGGAAGTAACTGGCTAACAAAATGAATAAAACCAGCTAGATTTGTTCATTTATTTGACTTACATGAAGAAGTTTTCTTTTCTAAACAATGATCATCAAGGTTGACAATGACAGCTTGTGGTTTTAACATAGAATTAGAGGCAAAACAATTAGTTTTATAGAACATTCAATACATCTTATCACTACGAGGAATAATCAGTGTGTAAGCATTTGTTTCTAGAAATTTGCAAATCTTCTTCAGCGAGGTGAGTCAACTGGGGGGATTTTGATTCCGGGTTGTATATGACAAGGAGTTGGGTCGCCTGTCCAACCTTGTGGGTTTTCGCCGGGGTCTTCCAATGCTAAACACCCCTATGCGCAAGCGAATTATTGAAATAAAATTGAACCATGTGTTAGTCCTGAAATGACCTAGTTTGTGCGTCGAGTGGACATTAAACCCCATCTCTCTCTCTCTCTTCAGCATGGGGTGGGTGTTTATTAGTCTCCTAACAATATAAAGATTTTGAGACAGAAAATAACTGCCGTGTTATCCCCCACCCCACTTTGCACCCCCACCCCTCTTTTCGACAGATTCTGACATTTATATCTTACAGAGATGAAAAAGGGTTTAAAGTCTGACTAACAAAATCAGGCTTATGTCATGCTATGAGAGATATTTTGCATGGATGGTGGCACTAAGGCCTGCCTACCTGTATTCTTATTTCCATAGGGATTTTTAACATGCCAATAAGACCTCAGTTTTCACAAAAGACAGGGCACTTTTCATTGCCAGGCCCTCCATCCTGCACAAGACAGGAGAAAACCAGGCTGGATAATCCTGATGAATTTTCTTGGCCAACACTGGGATTAAACCTGGGACTTCCTCGTTAATGAGCCAGAATCATACTCCCTGAACCACTGTGGTTGCAACCACATGTTTTAAAAGTCCGGATGCGCCATTTTAAGCAATAGGAATCACTTGTATTTAATATTGTGAAAGATTAATCCCTAATAGGAATATCAGTCCAATAATCGTTCCGGAGGGCTGACAAGGACAGCTGTCTAGTCCTTCGGATGAGACAAAAAACCGAGGTCCCGTGTATACATTGGAATGCACGTAAAAGGTCCCTTGGCAGTTGGAATTCGATATAAGAGTAGGCGATAGTGCCGCTGCCCGGGCAAAATTTCCCTCATAGCACACTGTATGGCGTATGCCCGTCTTCATTAGCCCAGTATAGGAGCAGAACAGTAGGATGTTAAACCCCATTTCATTTCATTTCATTTCCAATAATTGTTCAATTCTGTTCAGCATTTACAAAGACATGTGGAATTGATATTTCATTGATCTATGTTATAAGACTGTCGCCATTTTGTTGTCTTAAGAAAATTTCATGATAGGTCTCTTTTAGATTCGATTGAATCCAAGCTGGGACACTATCTAGGGTTGGTATTTTGATTTTATTTACTTAATTAAATGATCAATCTGAGTACAAATTTGTGTAGATTAAGCTGTGAGAAATTTGATATTTTCACAACAAATGCCAATGGCATCAGGATGGTATCAGTATCCTACTTTTCTTTTGCAACAATAATGATTAACATAATGAATATGATATTCGAAAATAATCACAATTACAACAATATATTATTTTTGAACTCTTTATATATAAATAATAATCTGATAAATATACATAATCTACAACTATTTACAGTTAAAAATAGTATAACAATATTATTTATAAAATCACAGATATATCAAATTAAACAAATTAAATAACAATGCTATGAACTTACATTTAAGAACTAAAACTTAAAAAATGGACGGATTTACTCAATGATGATTTTGTCTAAAATTTCAAATGTTAAAACTCAGTATTAGTTACCATTTATTTAGCTGAATGTATCACAAACTTTAACAAGAGCATCGCTAACGCAGCAATATACGTCCACATTCCTGTTTTGTTTGATATGGTCCAGTTTGCATTGAGGGTCTGTGAAATAAAACTGGGTTGTAGGACTGCTATCAGTTTAACACTTCGTTCACATGAACAGAACACAATTTTTATTTTAAAACAATCGATGTCTTTATTCTAAAAGCATGACGTTTCGAATAGGTATGCAAAGTTTCAAAAGGATCTGTTAAGAATTGCGGTCTGTAGGCAAAACACAGGACACACAAACGTTAGGCGTGGCTCTGTCCCAAGGGGTCGAGCATGCACCAAAAATAATAATAGAGGTCGGCCTTAGGATTAAGGAATAAGTATAAAAAGTAGCCTTAGGCTATAAGGAATAAGTATAAAAAAGTTTTCAAGATGATCGATTAAGAAATGCGGTCTGCAAGTGACACACAGACATAAAAAAAGAAAATGGGCGTAGCTCTGCCCCTGGGTGTTGGGTATTCACCACTAATAATAGGGATGTTCCTTAGGATAGAAGGAATATGTATGCTAGGTTTCAAGGTGATACGATAAGAAATGCGATCTGTAGATGACAAACAAATAAATAAATATAAGGGATGGGCGTGGCTCTGCCCCTGGCGGTCGGGCATGCACCAAAAACAATAGGGATCATCGTTAGGGTATAAGCAATTCATATGAAATTTTTTCAAGACGATTGATTAAGAATTGTGGCCTGTAGGTGACACACAGACATAAAAAGAAAAGAAAATGGGCGTGGCTCTGCCCCTGGGGGTAAAAAAACAATAGGGATGATCGTTAGGGTATAAGCAATTCATATGAAAAAATTTCAAGACGATTGATTAAGAATTGTGGCCTGTAGGCGACACACAGACATAAAAAAGAAAATGGGCGTGGCTTTGCCCCTGGGGGTTGGGCATGCACCCAAAACGATAGGGATGTTCCTTAGGGTACAAAGAATAAGTATGCAAAGTTTCAAGATGATACGTTAAGAAATGTGGCCTGTAGACGACAAACAAACAAATACAAAAAATGGGCGTGGCTCTGCCCCGGGGAGGCTTGCATGCACCAAAAACAATAGGGATCATCCTTAGGGTATAAGGAATAAGTATGTAAAGTTGATACGTTAAGAAATGCGGTCTGTAGATGACAAACAAATAAATAAATATAAGAAATGGGCGTGGTTCTGCCTCTGGGGGTCGGGCATGCACCAAAAACAATAGGGATCATACTTAGGGTATAAGCAATTCATATGAAAATTTTTCAAGACGATTGATTAAGAATTGTGGCCTATAGGCGACACACAGACATAAAAAGAAAAGAAAATGGACGTGGGTCTGCCCCTGGGGTCGGGCATGCACCTCAAACGATAGGGATGTTCCTTGGGGTACAAAGAATAAGTATACATAGTTTCAAGATGATACGTTAAGAAATGCGGTCTGTAGATGACAAACAAATAAATAAATATAAGGAATTGGCGTGGCTCTGCCCCTGGGGGTCGGGCATGCACCAAAAACAATAGGGATCATACTTAGGGTATAAGCAATTCATATGAAAAATTTTCAAGACGATTGATTAAGAATTGTGGCCTATAGGCGACACACAGACATACAAAGAAAAGAAAGTGGGCGTGGCTCTGCCCCTTGGGGTCGGGCATGCACCCCAAACGATAGGGATGTTCCTTAGGGTACAAAGAATAAGTATGCATAGTTTCAAGATGATACGTTAAGAAATGTGGCCTGTAGACGACAAACAAACAAATACAAAAAATGGGCGTGGCTCTGCCCCTGGGGGTCGGGCATGCACCAAAAACAATAGGGATCATCCTTAGGGTATAAGGAATAAGTATACCAAGTTTGAAGAAAATCCATGAAGAATTGCGCCCTGTAGGCGAACCACAGACACACACACACACACACACACACACACACATACATACATACACACACACACACACACAGACAGGGGCGACGGCATAATACGTTCACATTATGAATGTGGACGTATAAAAAGGAGGGAATTTTTCAAAGGTTCGCATTTCAATTTTGTCTGGAATTTTGTAGGTTAAAAAGAGAGAGAGAGAGAAATGGGGTTTAACGTCCACTCGACACAAACTAGGTCATTTCGGGACTAACATATGGTTTAATTTTATATACGCGTAGGGGTCTTTAGCAGTGGGAGGAAACCGGAGGACTGGGAGAAAAGCCACGAGGCTGGACAGGCGCCCCTACTCCTTGCCACGTACAACCGGGGATTCGAAACCACGCCAGTCAATTCAATGACAGACTGTATGATACAGCGCGCACGATAACCATTCAGCCATCCAACCCCCCTCGTAGGTTAAAAAGCGGAATTAGATAAGTTTCATTTAGCCAAATATATATAAAACATTGTATAGAAAAACATACTACAATTAAACTATAAATGGTAATAACACGAACAAACTTAATATTCAACTTTTCACATTTTTTTGAGGTAATGCATAGAACTTTGCAGAAAACAAATTTTATTCGACTTTAAAACACTTTGATTATTGTATGATAATGATGTTAAAAATGTTCTAATAGAACCTTACCCAATGTTCATGTTATACAAATTTGATGTTTTTGAAAGTTCCAAAGGGATAAATTAAATTTAGATATTTAGATTAGAAAAATGCCATAAAATACTACACAAGATAAATGAATATAAAGAGCACTAAAAATATGTGAATTTATTTAGATAATGATGCTACATAAACCCAGACTGATAGTACTGAGTTACAATAAGGATGTATATAAACAGCTAGTGCAAACTCTTCTGCTGATTCTTGTGTATGTACACCAGTAGAATATACACTCTCTACTATTCTGTCTAAATCTACAAATGGCATATTCATAGGAAAACCAGATACCTGCAATAAAAAAATATCACATACTTTAGATTTTGTACTCAATACTTTATTATTTACAAATAACCATAAAGTTGTCACTGTAAGGATATTTTTTATTTCCATCATCTTTGCTGCAGAATAAATCTATTTTGACAAATATAAATTAATAGATTATGACATTTATTATTTAATTATCTTACTTTGTAAGCTGCAAATGAATGTTCTAATTCTGTCAGATGTTGTTCATTTATTTCTTGTCCAGCACTTTCTTCTAATCTAGAAGTATAATATTTTAATATATATTATAAAATTATTTACATCCATATCTTGTATAATTCCAAATACAATTTGTCAATTTTCTGTGTTTTTTTCTAAGAGGAGACAGAATACCGGTAGTTAATTTAGGATACATGTAAAGTATTTGGTAAATCTTAATTAATACTATATGGTTAACTGAATTATTAACTAATATATTCACAATTTTATTTTCTAGGCTAGCTATGAACTGGGTATATGATTTTTTAAAGCAAGAATGAGAATCATTAGGTCCATATTTTGTAGATAGATATAGAGTGGAAGGTGCAAAATTACCATAAATCCACACAGAAAAATATGAGTATAAGATTTGACCAATTAATTGTAGGCTATGTTAGTACATGTCCCATGATTAAACTAAACAAAAGCACTTACTTAGGTAGAAGTTTTCTCATCATTTTAGTACAATGTCTGTTCCATCTAGTCAATGTTCTACTTCTCCAGTCCATTATTTTATTTTTCAACAGTTGCTCAATTTTTTCTTGTAAATCTTCAGCATGTTTTTTATCAGTGTCTATATAGTGAAGTCTCTCCGGCTTAAAGCATAAAAGCAAGATATCTCTTTAAATCTAAAGACAATAACCATGTCACGTTTCTATACAAATTTAGTCATCTAATTAACAACCCTACTTAGTTATTCCAATATTTCATGATTCTCATAAAACTAGACCCTACTTTCCAGTTACACTACAGTAAAGTCTAGCAACACCTTTAAAAAGTTTGTGTTCAACTGACTTAAGGTGAACTTTCATCTAGCCAATAAACAGGCATTTTCCTTTAGTGTAGGCCAACCACAATTGAAATTAGAATATAATATGGATGAAATTTCATTTAGATTGGTGATATTTACAATAAGCTAAATATTAATCAGTGATAGTATTATTGTAGAGGAGGGTGGTGTGTGTGTGTGTGGGGAGGGGGGGGGGCACTTGAGTGGTCAAATGTGTGTGCTGTAGTTCATCAGGTCTGTCACTAAGTCAAGTGGCATGGTTTTAAGAACCAGTTTGTATGGGTTTTCTCTGGGTCCGCAGGTTTCCCCTTTTTGCTAAAGTGCCCTACATGCAAGAGAATTATTGAATAAAATTATACCAGATGTTAGTCCTGAAATGACCTAGTTTGTGTTGAATGGATTTTAAACCCCATTTCTCTCTTTCTCTGTTATGGTTAAATATCCTAAGAACAAAATCCCCACCACCTCCATACAACAGGGACAATTGTTGCTAAGGAGTTCAAGTTTCTAGGTGTTAAACAAAGATATAATATTTACCTGTATAGCACCTAACACTGGATTAGCAAAAGAACGTTCAAATATTGGCCTCCAACAAGATGTATTGTTAAATCGGAAATCTATTTGAACTGGTTTTTCATATGGCTGTATATTGGCCCAAATCTGCAAAAAAGAAATTCCAAAATGATAAAACTAGATACCAAATTTTAAAAATAACAAGCCAACAGTGAGGCTGCAGATGTCCCCAGCCGAAATCTCAAAATAAATAGATGACACATATTAATTAATAGCACATTTACTTTTCTCAAAAGTATCAAGCAATCAAACTGATTATCAACTATACACTAAGTTTCATCATTCTTTATCAGATTGAATCAAAGTTATCTTGTCCCAAAGCATCGACCAATGAAATTGCTTAGCTCTGCTTAGCTTTAGTTTGAAATGTTAATCATCAAACTCAGTCAAGACATTCACCTAATGAACATCTACATCAAGTTTAATCATTCTACCTCAATTAAAAGCAGAGTTGTTACGTTCCAATCAAATTGATTATTGCTCCTTAGCCTAAGCAGAAAATTCTATCATCGAACTTAGTCATGGTAATGATATAATAATGAATCTATACTCAGACTTTCACCACTCTCACTTAATTAAAACCAAAGTTATCATGCCCTAAAGCATCAACCAATCAGATAGCTTATCTCTGCTTACCGAAAGCAGACAATGTTTATCATCGAACTCCATCAAGGCATTCACCGAATAAACACCTACACCAAGTTTGAACATTCTACCTCAATTAGAAATAGAAGGAGGGTTATTTTGTTCCAAAGTCTCGACCAATCAAATTGCTTATCGCTCTGCTTACCCAGAGCAGAAAATGCTCATTATCGAACTTAGTCAAGGTATTGATGTGATAAAACTATACACCAAATGTCCTCACTCTCACTTAATTAGAACTAAAGTTATTGTGTCCTAAAGCATCAACCATTCAAATTGCTTATCTCTGCTTACCCTAAGCAGAAAATTCTCATGTTCGAACTCCATCAAGGAATTCACCTAATAAACACCTACGCCAAGTGTGAACATTCTAGCTCAATTAGAATGAGAGTTATGTTGTTCCAAAGTCTCGAAGTCTCGACCAATCAAATTGCTTATCGCACTGCTTACCCTGAGCAGAAAATGCTCATTATCAAACTTAGTCAAGGTATTGATGTGATAAAACTATACATTAGTGTCCTCTCTCTCTCACTTAAATAGAACTAAAGTTATTGTGTCCTAAAGCATCAACCATTCAAATTGCTTATCTCTGCTTACCCTAAGCAAAAAATTCTCATGTTCGAACTCCATCAAGGCATTCAACTAATAATCACCTATGCCAAGTGTGAACATTCTAGCTGAATTAGAATGAGAGTTATTTTGTTCCAAAGTCTCAAAGTCTCAACCAATCAAATTGCTTATCGCACTGCTTACCCTGAGCAGAAAATGCTCATTTCCGAACTTAGTCAAGGTATTGATGTAATAAAACTATACACTAAATTTCATCACTCTGAATAATTTCATAATGAACTGAATAACAAATGGAATGAAATGGGGTTGAACGTCTTACTTTTCTGTACTGACTGGAAGATTTGGCTAATGAAGACAGGTTTACACAATGCAGTGTGCTATGAGTGAAATTTTGACCTGACCTACTCTTATTTTGAATTCCAACTGTCAAGGGTTCTTTTACATGTCCCATCCAGATGACTAAACAATGTCCTTGCCAGGCCCTCAGTCCTGTACCACTGACAACGGGAAACCACACTGGAAAATCCAGGGGAATTTACTCCAGGATCAAACCCTGGTGCCCCCAGTTAATGAGCCAGCATCTTACTTACTGAGCCACCATGGCTAACTGACTAATAAATCTACTGGTAACTTACATTATTCTGATTCATAACACAGCCTACAACTTGTACTGGACAGAAACTATCCTGTACATTAAAATGTTCACCAGTGGAAGCATTCCATAACCACATTTGAGTACCCTCTTCTGTTAATACATAGGCTGTAGGACCTTCTGGTACAGCTGATCCTGAAATTCAAAAATGTGATAATATAATTAGAATTTTATTGTTCAGAAACAAATGTTATAAAATAGTTATTCATGTTTATTTATCCAAATTTATGTGAAGCTAGTATTTTTTATATTTTTGAAATAATTATCTAGATTTATGTGTATTTTTGAATTTATTTAAATATTAAAATAAACATTAATGGTAAAAGTTTACAAAGACAAGAATGAACACTAAATAATAAGCAGAGCACCAAATTATGCTCACAGATCAAGGTTGTCTTTACCTATTAAAAGATATGCTTTTTTCCCTAGTTCCAAGAAATAATTCATCAAAAGTACTGCATGTTCTTCTTCATCACCTGCTAACATTCTTAAAAATTGCTGAAAATACAAAACTATTATATAGCTGTTTATGCAATTATAAATACATAAAATATTCCAAATTAAAAATTTCCAGAATTACTAAGAATAAATTGCATATGATTTTATAATGGAAGTTGCATTAATTTCATGAAAGAATTAAAGGTAGAAAAGTAAATTTAAAGATAGGTTGCTAGGCAGCGAAACATACGTCCACAGCAGCTAAATTGTCCGGGCAGTCAACAAGAGTTGTCGCATATTTTTACTTGTCGTTAATGAAACATTTATAATACACTAAAATCTGATTAAGCGTAACAACTTGTTAAAGATACATTATGGGAAATTAGATAAAGAGCTGGCAGTTCTCACTATAATACATGTACCTAAAAACTAAATAATGTAAAGGAAATTTGCTGAAAATTTCAGTCAAATTGATCCACTCTGAACTGAGATTTTAGCGATTGAATTTTCGGCCTAGCCTCGATCATCATTACTAAAGTCATTACGATAAAAAACATAGTCTCGATTATCCATTTAATGATTAAATTATGAATGAATGTCGAACAGGAAATCGAAACCTAATCCAATAAACATTGCAGTTAATTATGGTCTGAAGAAAGACCTGCAATAGGCAGATTTAGCTCTTGCATAATGCATGTTTAAGTAATTATCAGAAAATCATTAAAATTTGTTTGGCCCATGCTAACGTTTAGTATACAAAACATTTAATATCATGGATTTAGCTGTTCAAGTTATCAAAAATCATTGAAAATCAATATACTTGTTTGTCTTAAGACCATAAACTCTGTGTATCAATCTAAAGTCAAACGAAACAATTATATATAGGCTAAAAACATGATGTATAAATATAAAATCAATCAGATAATAACTATGGTCTCTAAAGCGTCCACAAGATTTTTCAAAGTGATCAAGGACCATAACTCAGGCAGTATTTATCGGAAATCAGTGAAAATCATTAGGCTTCTTCGTCTCGGATATTAATTTTAGCCTCTAGAGCGTTCACAAGCCGAACGGATGAGGACGATGACAAGATACAACCACATATCAATGTGGGCGTATAAAAATGTTTTAATCTAAATCATTATCTAATTTCTTTGAGCATTGTATTCATAGGTAAAAAGCTTGATCTCATCAGCACAAGAACGTAAACAACTGTCAGGCTAAAAGATAGGTTGCCAGGCAACGAAACATACACCCACAGCAGCTAAATCGTCTGAGCGAATGACAAGGTTGTCGCATATTTATTATTTTGTAGATAATTGAGTGCATTTACAAGACAATTTCATACAGATCAGATTATAATTTTTGTCGTCTGAGGGTTCACAAGGTTCTACAAACTGAAACAAGGGCCTTAACTCTGGAAGTAATTTACAGAAAATTTGACAGGCTTTTTCGTTTTACTAAGGTAAATAATGCATATATATTTCATACAGATCAGATGATAACTTTTGTCATTCGAACGTTCACAAGGTTCACGAAGTAAAACAAGTGCCATAACTTTAGAAATAACTGATGGAAAATGCTGAAACTAAATAGGGTTCACAAATTTAAATGATGCATATAAATTTCATACAGGATGATAATTTTCATCAATCGAGCATTAACAAGATTGAACAAAGTCAAACAAGGGCCATAACTCTAGAAGTAATAAATGTAAATTGCTGAAATTCAATAGGCTTTGTGGTTTCACTAATCTAAATGATGCATATGAATTTCATACAGATCGGATGATAACTTTTGGCATTCAAAAGGTTCAACAAAGTGAAAAAAGGGTCATAAGATTAGACGAAATAAACGAAAATTGCTGATTTCAATTTCTTCTTTTTACTAATTTAAATGACACATAAAAATTTCATACAGATCGGCAGATAACTTTAAATGTTAGAGCAATCACAAGGTGCAACAAAGTGAAAGAAGGGCTATAACTCTAGAAGTAATTAAAGGAAATTGCTGAAATTCAATAGGATTCTTCTTTTTACTAATTTAAATGATGCATATAAATTTCGTACAGATCGGCAAATAACTTTAGATGTTAGTTAGAGAGTTCACAAGGTGCAACAAAGTGAAACAAGGCCCATAACTCTAGACGTAAAAAAACAGAAATTATTGAAATTACATAGGCTTCTTCGTCTCACTAATGTAAGCAACATATATCAATTTTAAAACAAACAGATGATAATTTTTGACGTTAGAGCGTTTTCAAGAAATTGTGGACGGACAAACGGACGGGGGCGACGGCAATATATGTCCACATTTCCATGTGGGCTTATGAAAAGGTAGGCTTGGTAGCTAGCAATGTCGATTAACTTATAAAATTAACATTTAGATAAAGTGTTTGTGTATGTTAAGTTGCATATACAGTAATTAGACATACTTACATCACATGTACTCCATATATCACATAAACCATGAAAGACAGCAGAGTCAGAGACAAATGGAATCATAGAAACATAATGAGCAACACGTTCCTGTAACAGATTGGAGAATATCAGTATCATTATATATAGCTTTATATACAGTAATTACTTTTTTCTTATTTTACTTTACAAACCTTTCCTTCCTTATACCAGTGTTATTCTTTAAAAACTGAAGTATTTTTTAAATAATTAAGGGTAGTATACAGTCTTATGACTATCAAACAGTGGGATTTTATTTTATATGAAGATATTATCCAACGATTCAATGTAGTGTTTTAGTTTATTGTTCATTCATACATTAATGGGATTAAGTTCAAATATGGTTAGAAATGAAATGAAATGGGGTTTAACGTCCTACTGTTCTGCTCCGAAATATGTTTAGATACATTGCAATAAAATGCATTATTTTTGTACTTACAGCTGTTGCATCTGTAGATAAATTCATAGCCTTGATATCATCAGGTATATTTAATGCTTTAAAATATCTTGTTATAAACATATTTTTACCATTAACATCTACCACACTATATTTATAAATACGTTTAGGAAATCGTTTCTCTAATTCATCCTGCCATTTCTCTGAATGAGCTAACAGTTTCTCATCCTCATTGGTAGAGAACTGGAATAAAGAGATATCAAATCAAATTCTATTATGCTAAACTATTCAGAAACATAGAGAAACATCCAAGGCTATAAAGTTCTGTAAGAAATGGCCATAGCTCTGGAGGTAAATATTAAAAAACCTAGTGAAAATCAATAGGTCTCTCTGGTTTAAATGAGATAGACAAACCAAACTTATCTACTGACGTGGACTTCATAACAAAAGGGTATAAATATCAAAAATATTATTCAAAATCAATCTGTTTAAAAGTTAAAAATTTATCTACATATTTTACTGTTGATCTGAGAACATCATCAAAATCGAAGTGAGTAAGTCCTCTGTAATAAAGAGATAAAACATACCCTTTCTCTAACTGGTTCTGGTGTCAGTAACTGTGGTTCTATGGTTAAAAACATACTGATATATGTACTGTGTTCCATCTTAGTAACATTCTCCATATCACTACGTCGTACAGAATCTTCATAAGTATATCCTAACATAACTGGTGGTGTGTTTAAACGGAATGTTCCTACAATCTGTACATAAGTTTCAAAGATTAATAATATCAAAATTAAGAGACAGTAAAAGGGCAGAAAGTTATTGAAAAAGTTTGTTATTTAATAATAGATGAAAAAAAGACTAAAAGGTATTTACAATTAAGAAAAAAAGAACACAAAATTCAGTTTAGATAATCTTGTGATGTTGATGTAAACAGACAGAAATTCTAAATGATTCAACAGGGCAAAGTTAAGAATAAAGAGAATCACACCTTTAAAATAACGATAGCTGTTTTGAGGTCCGTGTGTAACAGTTTATATATATATTGAAATGAATTCATGCAAGAAGTCTTGTAGTCAAATAACAAACAATGTAAGATATATTATTAATAAAATAAAACTGTTCAAAATTATCCGTAAAACAAAATACTTACCTTTGTATTGAGATAAATAGTAGAGAAAGGTATTTTTAAATTACCCAGCCATTTCTTTTCTAATCTCTGATGAATATTAGTACTTCTATCTCTATCATCCTACAAGTACAGTATAATAATATGTCTAATCTAAAGTATATTCTCTTGTCTCTAGAATATATTTCATCAATTGTTCAAAATTTTAAAACCAATTCATCTAATTGCCTGCTTATACTTTTCTAAAAACAAAGGCCCTGTATATCTAGGAACAAGAAACTACATATAACTGTTTAAAATAGGGCATTGTTCTTAGATCTCATATATAGTATCCTACATAAGTTATGGCAAATTGTACAAACCTCCTGAACATCTACAACCATTTCATCAAATAAATTGATATATACAAAATCACTCATAGACTGTAGATTATTAGATGAGAAATCACCATTAGGAGCCCTGTAAAAAATCATAAATGTGGAGCAAAATCATTATCAAGTTCAATAACACATGGCAAAATACTTAGTTGTTTAAGGAATGTGTGTGTACTATTAACATGATAGTTTCACAATTCAAAATAGTTATGCAGAAAAATATTGTCATTATAATATCTATTCTTTAGAAGCACGGTTAACTATTCATAACAAAACACAAAACAAGGTATATATGGATATAACTACTTCTCTATTATTTAATAACGATTTCGTAACACATACAGGTCCAATTTCAAGTTAATGATAAATATCCATGTATAAATAGGCCGGCTAGATGGATATTTATCATTAATTAACTTGAAAACGTGACCTGTATGTGTTACGAAACGTTGTTATTAAATAACAGAGAAGTAGTTATATCCATATATACCTTGTGTTGTGTTTTGTTATGAATTAAAGTATCTGTTGATAAACATTGGGAATCAACTGTATAGAAAAAAATGAAATTATAAATGTGTTTACTTGAGAGGTAATTCTAATTCTTCATTAAAACTAGGATTTGGTCCATCCCCAACACTTGTTCTAACTGTGTTTCTCTGGAACATTACTTCAATATATGGTCTTACAAGTGTCTACAATCAAATACAGTCATAATTATTTTAATTAAAAGAGTATAATTAATTGTCTTAGTTGATCTAATTGAAAGAATATAGAAACAACTGCTAAAAACTGATTCAAATCCATCATTTAAAAGAAGAAATATTATCCAAACGCAATGCATCTTGTAATAATATAACACATATACTTACAACATTACCAATAATCTTCATATCATGATCCCGAGTTGCAGCACTACAAAATAATTACAAATTAGCAATGCAGTATAATTTTTCATTATAACCTCTAACTAATTTAATTACATTAATTGTATCTATTGAAGATGAATTGAAACAAATGAAAGTTTATGTTCTTCATTGAAAGTTTTAAAGTATGCAAATATCTAATTATAAGATGGGTTTTTTTTTTTCATTTGTAAATGATGTTCACTGATTGCAATATTCTTCCATAACATAATGAAGGTCTTCAAGATTTCCTTTTCAGAACAGTAAAGCCTGATTTGAATCTCTAGTGAAGAATTTGAGCAGTGACAAGAAGTTCAGTTTTAAATTTGTGACTTGTTTCTTTGTGAATTCGTAATTTGTGTATCTAAATCTGTGTTTCTCCTTTCAAAAATCAAATTTTTAAAACAATCTAACATTGGTATAACAAATACAAACAACAAATTACCATTAAAAAAAGTTACAATGATTAATTTTAATCATCTTGTGATAAATCTATGCACAGATAATCTTCAGTGTTTTTAATCAAATTAGTGAAGCATAACCATCATAACAGAGAATCTGTATTAAGTCTAGTTTAGTTGAGGTGTAAGACATATTTTTTCAGCTCACAATTAATTAATTATACAGTTAAACTATGTGGAAAGGAAATCTGTGCAAGTATTAGACAGTTTAAGTTCATTTTACACAAATTTAAAGGAGATGGTCCATTATTTTCTACATTCAAATAAAAGAGAGATAACGAGGACAAATTATTCTAGGTGCCCCCCGTTCAAGATATATCCTTAATAAATGAATGTTAGTCATATCAAGTCTACCATATCTTTCAATATGGCATTCCAAAGTAAATCAGTAAATTAATCAAATCTGTTCATATTGTGTGTCGAAATTAATTGTTAGTTGTATTTCCAAATGGCAATTATTGCTAGTTTTGGTTCTAGTAGTGATGTCACAAATACAATCTTATATTTAATGCATTTTTGAACAGAGGATTTTAGAAAATTTATAAAATTTGATTATAATTGCTGTCATTGTTTTCTACTATTTGAATATAGAAATAGGTGGACCATGTGATTGTCACTCTGTGCTTATATAACATAACACCAAACATCTTACCCATCTTCTTTACTTGGTCTACCAGTACATAAATTAGTATAATATAAAATAATATACTTGTATAAAGCTTTTCATTATGGCCTCTATGCTTATTCTAAAATCAGTATAAAGGGCTAGGTGCTAGGTCAACATAATTGCTTGAATTTTTTAATTTTTTTCCTTAAATGCCCAAAGACTGATATAATCAATCCCCAAAACGCTATTTTGGAGTTATTTATATTTCAAAACTTTTTTGTTAAAGCCTTACACAACTTAATAGCAATTTAGGTCATCATAAACAATTTGGCCTTCCTACTCCTTTTTGGAAAACCTACATTCGGCACTGTGTGCAAATTAATAAAGCAAAAACCCTAATAAAATTAAAATGAAAGCCACATCTTTAACACAAGAAAAGTTAAAATTTTGTTTCTCTAAGTTTAGATTCACTGTTAAAGATATATTATGTAAGATTTAGATAAAGAGCTGGCTGTTCTTGCTATAATAGTACAAAAATAGATAATGCAAAATGAATGAATATTTCATTCGAATTACTTTATTCTAAGGAAAGTTATCACTGTTTGTAGTTTTGACAAGATGTGTGCATTGATGGTTTATGGTAACCACGGTACTGGTATATTCAAGACTTAGCTTTGCTTCTCAATTTCTAAATTAAAGGAGCTAAATCGCTAATATTTGGGACCTAGAAATTGACAAAAGTGGGTCGCAACGCATATAATAATCTACTATGAATGTATAAAAAAACTGATTTACATTCAATCATTTCTGTTTTTACAGTAATTTCTAATCAGTTATGTTCGGCAAAATACGCCAGAAGTCTCAATCGAATGGCAATCTCTAGCATCTGGTTATTTACGTCTATACCGATAGTATTTATTGCACATGCTTTCCGGATAAGAATATGGCGTCACTGTTTGACATGACTTGTGGAATATGTCTAGCCTTCTTCTCCAAGTCCGATGTTACAAATGGCACTGAATTGCATTATGGTACAAGATTCGTGTACCAATGGTAAAATGTTTATTTTGTCTTAAATATTGGATATCAATGTTGATTTAAATTGGTGTTTTCAATGTTGAAGACTTTGGATGATATTGAGTTAGAGACATAGCTACTTTAAATCATTAAATGGCCGAACCCTTCTAATCTAGTTAAACTTAAAATCTCGAGCATCCGATGGCAACAGAGTTGATTATGGTCTTGTCAAGTTAATAAATGTCTAATTAATACTTTATATAACATTTAAAACCTAAAGAAAGACTGCAATAGGCAAATTTAGCTCTTGAATAATGTATCTTTAAGTAGAACTTACCCAGCTGCTGATTTGCGTATTGGTATACATGAAGCTCGGATAATATTGAGTAGAATTTTGACTTCTTCCCCTCTAACTGCTGCCGCAGTGACCCTCTTTCTCTCTTTTCTTACAGGTTTTAAAGGTCGTCTTGGTTCACCAAACTGTAGTAATCTTGTAAACACAATGCTGAAATATAAATACTTCTTGATCAACCAATGTCTAGTTTTTCAGAATTATTTAAAAATATTGTCTTCATAAAAGTTGAAATTTCAAAAAATTAAAACTAAATTTAAATGTTTACCCAATGTTTGGTACAACTTCTTCTATAACTACATCCTCTAATCTTTTCTGATGAGCTGCCATACGGAATCTCCTCATTACTTCTTCTCTTACCTGAAATAGTAATACACATATTTGTCCATACTATCTCTTCTTTTATACTGTTTACCTTTACACTACAATAATGTCTAACAACATCTTTAAAAAAAATTGGGGATCACGTGGCTAAGTGGGTAAGACGCTAGCTCGCTAGCCTGGAGGTCGGGTGTTCGATCCCTGCATTGACCGAGAAAGTTCACCCAGATTTTCCGGCGTGGTTCTCCCTTGTCAGTGATGCAGGACGGAGGGGCTGACAAGGAAAGCTGTCTAGTCGTTCGGATGGGACGAAAAACCGAGGTCCCGTGTACACATTGGCGTGCACGTAAAAGATCCCTTGGCAGTTGGAATTCGATATAAGAGTAGGCTGTAGTGCCGCTGTCCGGGCAAAATTTCCCTCATAGCACACTGTATGGCGTATGCCCGTCTTCATCAGCCCAGGTTAGGAGCAGAACAGTAGGACGTTGAACAATTGAACATATGCTTTGTCTTGGGCATGAACAATTCTACCCATTACACCTCAAAGAAAACAGGGCCTTGATAAAGAAGTATATACCTTATAAAATTGTCAATATTAGTGTAATAATCAATCAAAGAATGATTAAGTATGTTAATTATTTACCTATTTAAGCAAAATAGAAGAAAAATTTGGAATAACTGAAGGCAGGAAAAGAAATGAAATGGGGTTTAACGTCCTACTTTTCTGTAACATCTGGACTAATGAACTTTCTCAGCCAGCACTGGGATAGAACATGGGTTAGCGAGACAGTGCCTTATTCACTGAGTCATCATGGCTCCCACAGGTAGGGAAAGAGATAGCTTACCCGTTGCATAAATCTATTAACTGCTGCCCTATGTGATTCTATATCTTCTGTATGTTTTATTCTGTCTTCTTCTCTCTGTTTACGTTCATATTCCTAACCAAAACAAGAAACAAGTGTATAACTTTAACAATAAATTCATATTTAGGACATTAAGTTTTCATATATAACTTTCATAATTAGTGTACGGTACTCTGATATTTTGTTTTAAAACTATTCATCATATATTAACATCTTACCATAAATATATCTCTTGGTAATTCTCTTTCATAAACTGGAACCATTTTTGAATTTTTAAACTCTGGTACCTCATTGTCTCTGAGTGATAATAATTTAAACCGTCTGTTTTGATTTAACTCATGTTCTGTAGTAAAATCAAACTCCTGCTGTAGTTGTTCTAAACGAAAAAAATCTCTTGACTGCATACTGCTGGAACTTCGTGACTAAAATAATGAAAAAAAATCAGATGTTTGAAATAAATACATTGAAGCTATTAAGTGATATACTTCCATGTAGCAATATTTGTCTATAAAAAATCCTAATATTAGAATTATTATATGATCGTTAGATAAGAGAAAGAGAAATGGTGTTTGACGTCCACTTGACACAAACTAGATCATTTTGGCCCTAACATATGGTTCAATTTTATTTCAATAATTTGCTTGCGTGCAGGGGGTCTTTAGCAGTGGGAGGAAACCGGAGGACCCGGAGAAAACCCTGAGGTTGGACAGGCAACCCTAGTCCTTGTCACATACAACAGGGGAATCAAAACCACAGCAGTTGACTCAACAGGCACACGCAAACCATCCAACCCCCCCTGATCGTTAGAATTTTAAGACAATTTTTCAAAAAGTACATAACTCACCCCTAACATATAAACTAAATCAGCATTATTAGGATCATTAGGATCTAGACGAGATTCTTGGAACCATTTAGCCAAACGTTCTATATTAACAACACCTGTTGCTCCTATAGCAGCTACAGGATCCATCATTTTCATAGCACTGGAAATTGAAAATATGCATTTAATATCAAAGCTTGACATTTGAACTAAAATTTCAATTTTTTTACTTTAGATAATCAAAAGAATATGCTATGAAACCTCCCTTACTGATAAGTTACAATTACAAGAAGCTACCCAGTTTAGACAATCATAGGATATGTCAGATTGCTAAATATATGCCTTACTTATATATATTGTTAGTAGAATAACCAGACATTGGTGGTACAAGAGGGGTGCCATCTTCTCCAACAGACCAAGCTACACTACTACACATTATACCGGTTGTCATCAATATCATAGTATTAGTACCATGTATATCAAATGTAAATGGTATACCTGAAAAATACAAAACAAAGTCAATATTTGTTAATCAAATATACATGTGATATCATTCTTTTTTTTAAATTTGAGTTATCAAACATTTTACTATTCAACTCAGTTAACCTCTACCCATTTGTGGGAAGTGGCAAAATAATTAATAATTGTTGTGCAGCTGGTTTCTTGACAGACATTATTCCTTACATTCTTAATATTATTGGTACACAGTTCCTCATTAATTGCAAAGTTCATAATAGCCTCTCTGCTGTAATAACTTATGGTTTCAATTTTTTGTGAAAGTGACTTTTGATGGCATTATTGAGAACAGTGTAACATAAGTTATACATACCACTACCAACACCTTCATGTGTAATATCTATCTTTAGATCTGTACTAAAATCCATTTCTTCTAGTTGTACACTTTGTGATGTTACAGATGGATCAGGTATACCAGCATATAAATCTGCTAATAAATCACTCCCTAACCCTCGTGTTTCAAATATCTATAATATATAATAACAACATAATTTAGCTAATAAATCACTCTGTAATGGTCATGTTATTCATATCGATGATATAATTATAACATAATTCAGCTAGTATATCTATAAAAATAACAACTGTTTCATATTTATAATGAATACTTAACATAATTTAGCTAATAAATCACTGCCTTACCCCCATGTTTCATGTCTATAATATATAACAACATAACTTAGCTAAGTAATAAATCATTGTGTTTAACATTTCTAAACCAGCGGCTGCCAGGCAGGATACGCCCACATTTTCGAGAGATGGATAGAGAACAAGTTAAAAAGAAAGTGATTTTTCCTACAATCAAGGGCAATAATTCAGGAAATTACAATTCGATATGCGCAAATATCGAAAGGAACCGAGATCTTTGGGTTATAAACCATCATTTCAAGTTTCAACAAAATCGGAAAAAAATTGTGACCTCTATAGTGTCCACAACCTTGATATACCATAATTTTACGCTATTTGAGAACGAGGGGCGGCCATTTTGTCTGTCAGTTTTGGGCTGACTTTCACGAAATTTGAACTCAGCCGTCCTTAGAGTGTAACAGTGATATAATAATACAGTTTTTTAAATCGGATAAAAATTATGACCTCTATAGGCTCCACAAGCTAAAAACGTGATTTTTCGTACAATCAGGGGCCATAATTCAGGAAGTTATATTCCGATATGCGCGAATATCTAAAGGAACCGAGATTTTTGGGTTATAATCATACATTTTAAGTTTAAACCAAATCGGATAAAAATTGTGACCTCTACAGTGTTCACAAGCTAAAACGTGATTTTTCGTACAATCAGGGGTCATAATCCATGAAGTTACAGTCCGCTACATGCCAATATCGAAAGGAACCGAGATCTTAGGGTGATAAACCTATATTTCACAAACAATTGTGGACGGACGGACAGGGGCGATGACAAAATATAACAATATAACTCAGCTAAGTAGTAAATCACTTCCTAATCCTAACCCCTGTGTTTCGTATATTTATATATACAATAACATATTATAACTACAGGCAATAAATCACTCATTAACCCTGTCTAAGGGGGGGGGGGGAATTGTTCAAGGGGTAGTAGTCCTAGACCTAATTTAGATTAAAGGAGCTAAATCGCTAACATTTGGGACCTAGAAATTGTCAAAAGTGGGTCGCAACGCATATAATACTGTAATATGAATGTATATAAACTGATTTACATTCAATGGTTTCCGTTTTTACTCCAATTACAAATCAGTTATGTTCGGCGAAATAAGCCAGCAGTCTCAAGCGAGTGCAAATTTGTAGCGTCTGGTTATTCCAGTCTACATACGCCGATTGATTTGGTGCAATGTGTCTAGCCTCGTCCCTCAAGTCTCTTGATACATCTGGGGCTGAAGCGCATTATGGTACACGATTCGTGTACCAATGGTAAAATGTTTATTTTGTCTTAAATATTGGATATCAAAAGCCCATCTTTTTCCGTTAAAATCTAAACATGAATGTTGATTTAATTTGACAAATAATTTGTGTTTTCAATGTTGAAGATTTTGGATGATATTGAGTTAGAGACTTAGCTACTTTAAGTGAGAACTTTTTCTTCCATTCGGAATTCAAAATGCACTGTAAGATACTGCTTTAAAACAACAGCCACCATAAGCACTGCTGTATGGAATATATACCTGGAATTTAACAGATTCTGGCCACTGAACAATCTTTAGGTTATAGATTTGACCAAAAGTTACTCGAAAATCTTGTGAAAGAGGCCTGCAACATAAAAGAATATATTTGTGCACAATTTACATCAACTTTGTAATTGTAATTAACATGTAAAAATACTGTAAGCTTTAGGCTGTTCTTTACTATACTTGTATGTACAGTACAGTACAGTGCACTGCACGTTCTTATTTACAATTATTGATCTCACTGTACAATGTAAAAGTAACATCAAATGAGAATAGAATAGCCAACTTGATCACATGATTTCTTCATAAAACTTACTTGGCAGGTGTTCTTGAGACTTCTTTATTATTGAATAGAATTTTAACAAAAACATTGGTTTTAGAAACATCATCTCTTCTACTCTGTTCTCCTCTAAAATCAAATTTACATGATGCAAATTAATTATTTAATAAACAAGGGCAAAAACATTGGGGAATCAAAGGCGCTACCAGTTAGTTGGGCCCTTCTCTAAACACACAAAATATTCAAATTCTCTTTCTTGGGGCTAGAGCAAAACATAAGGACTTTAATCCCCATTTCACTGTTTCTTGGGGGAATTATGTGCTAAATAATCCTGAAATGACCTAGTTTGCATCAAGTGGACGTTAAATCCCATTTCTCTCTCTCTCCCTCTGTGTTAAAACATGAAAGTGTCTAAACCAAACAATAATATAATCTGGTTAAATTATCCAAGGTAACAAAAAATTGTAATTTTTTTAACAAATGAACAGCATTGCAAAATGCAAACTGTTTTTAATGAATGAACAATGAATGCTGTTTCGCCTGTATATGCCAGACATGTCCTACATGAGTTGGCAAATGCCCAATCGGACATCAAGATATTGTGAACCACATTCAATATGCCACAAAATATTGACTGTACGGGGGGGGTATAACTATTACTTATTCAGGTTGTTGTTGATAATAGGTGGTGTCCATTATGATCACACAATTATCTTTATCTGTAACCATTTTCCTTCATAAGAACAGGCCATGTGGTGCGAAATATTTACCGATTGACATGCGCTAATAATAATACGCAAAAAATAGTCATACCAGTTTCAAAGTGTTACGTACGGTAAGCTACGGATGTAATTTTAAAATATAGTTTTATAAAGAGACAAAGATGTTTTGACATCATGAACTAATCTTATCACAGACTTTTCGTTTTTATTTCATATCGAATAAACGAAGATATGTAATTATTAAGGAATATTACTGACGTGAACTTGAAGCCAGAACTGGAAAGAACAAGCCAACAGTGAGGCTGATATCCCCTGCCGAAATCCCATATTGATTAATTGCACATTTATCTTTTTCAAAAGTACTGAGCAATCAAACTAATTATCTATACTTTGTCTAAGCAGAAAATGTTCACAATCAAAGTCAGTCAAGGTTTTGAAGTAACTGGTAATGAAACTATACACCAAGTTTTATCACTCTCCATCAGTTAGAATCAAAGTTATCTTGTCCCAAACCAATGAAACTGCTTAGCTCTGCTTAGCTTTAGTGGGAAATGTTAACAATTGAACTCAGTCACCTAATGAACATTTACATCAAGTTTAAACATTCTACCTCAATTACAAGCAGAGTTGTTATGTTCCAAAGTCTTGACCAATCAAATTGCTAATCGCAGCTTAGCCTAAGCAGAGAATGCTTCATTATTGAACTTAGTCAAGGTATTGATGTAATGCACCACAGTGATCAGCATTGAATTTTCGTCAGACTGCTACATTCACTAATAAGGATGACATCGATGCGACTTACTGAGCCCCAAATATTAACTTTTTCCCTCTGACAAATTACATTCTAAAACATTTTTTTATGTATTAGAAAAATAAAGACATTTGATGTTTGAAGTATTTGTAGGTAAAAATTATTTCCTTTTTAGTGTAAATGGGTATTAAAATGATTAAAAGGCACCATTCTACCCGAACCAGTAACATCTTATGTAAACAATGCATGATGTAGTGTCACGTGTTGAAGACAATCATGTTTAATAGAGATATTAGAAGACATTCGTAATCATAATCCTCTGTGAAACAGATTGCTAATGAATGCCTACACCCAGTTTAAACATTCTACCTCAATTAGAAGGAAAGTTGTTGTGTTCCAAAGTCTCGACCAATCAAATTGCTTATGGCTCTGCTTACCATGAGCAGAAAATGCTCATTAAAAAACTTAGTGAAGGTATTGATGTAATAAAACTATACACAAAGTTTCATCACTCTCACTTAATTAGAATTAAAGTCATCGTGGCCCAAAGCATCAACCAATCAAATTGCTTATCTTCGAAAGGTGGGGGACAAATATGAAATATAGGGAGATTTGCCTACTTTTGTGTACTAATCATAAACATTATTCAGAACACCATATGTAACATTACATAAGAAATATTTGTAGTTGAAGTCTAATAAATGGAATGGAAGCTTATTGACCCTATTTCTGGAAGTTTTATACTGACCTTGGACATTGTTTAGTTGGGGTAACAGTTGCTGTACTGGTAAGTTCAGGTATTAACTTTGGTTCACCTAGGTTAATAAAATCAAATGTTTAAAAAAGATTCACTCTTATTTTGATGATCCCCATAATATGTTATTACAGACATAATTTCATATTTTCAACTGTTTGTGGAGAAAGGTCAATGTGAAGTTGTATATCTAAAATTACTATATTTCTTGTACAATGCCAATTAAAGATAACCTGCAATTCTGAACAGATATTCAAGACAATTCACAAGCTTGTTGAGTATATCTTGTTTCGATTTGTATTAATTGCAATGTAGGAGCTTAAGGAATGCTATTTAGAACATACTATAAACCAAAATAATGAACTGAAATTTCAACATATTTGGATGAATAATATTTTTTATTAAAACTGCTAAAAAATCTATTTTCCTACAAATTTCGAAAAATAACCATATGTTATATTATTAATATAGACATTACCAGGTCTTCTTCGTATTGCCATAGCTTTAGCTTTGATTTTATCCCTCGTTAGTTTACTATCAAATTTCTCTGGTAATACTGGTTGTGGTAAATCTTCCTCATTTAATAATTCTCTATCTTCTGGCGACATTTGCTTTATAACAAACAAACAGTGAAGATATACAATAAATCATTATATAGTAATGGCAACTAGACATAATGGTAATCGCATGAGTGCATGTTTGATCATCACTTTAGATGGGTGTCGAATCTTTGGGTACTTAGACAAGACACTATCCCAGGGATCCTAATCGCTCATTATTGTTTCAAAAGGCCGATTTATAAAACAATGAACTGGCCAGTATGGTATCCTAAATCAATCGATTTTCGGCTAGATCATAACAAGTTAATTATTACTTGTTGATTAAGTCAATCAACTTACTTCCTGGCTACAATTACAGTCATACCTTAGTGAGAATCTGCTATGTGGTTCACAATCTGAGTAATGAGCACATTTAACAGCAATTTTGAAAATACGTTAAAAAAATAAAACAAGTTTGCTGATTATTCATGAAAGGTCCAGTAAACTGCCTTTGTGAAAATAAGCCATGTGGCGAATAAAGATGATCTCGGCTTGGATTGTGAATCTCAGGATTTGTGCCATCTTCAACGCTTCCTACGAATCCCAGGTAGATATTAAAATAATAATTGGATCACACATTTGATGGTTTCACTGACCAGTTGTTACCGGTAGTTAAATTTAAATAGTCATTGAATAATCCCCAGATAGACACCGAATATTCCTAGAAACAGTCAGTAATAATATATGCATCGGTTGGAATTAGGTCAATAACCAAGCGTTATTGACCTAGCATTTACCATTATGATTTTTTTTGTTTTCTACACATGCTGACTGAGGTTTAATTTAAAAAATATTGTCCTTATTATTGAAGGCTATGGCAAAGTCGTATGGAATTTTATTTTATAACGCAATTTCAATTATGTTTGTCACATGATCATGGCGCCGTTTGTCTATCATCTACCAATGAATAAAAACTTTGCAAGTTACGTGATAAACAACAAAAAAAAACCCCAATGTGTTAAATATGAAGAAATTTTGATACTGGCTGACTGGCTGTAGTAGAAAAATCCTAATCTCAATCAACTGATGAACTAGATCTATATCTTATTTAATACAAACATTTCACTTTATCCATTGAATAAACGAAGACAGTAGGTGTCCCTATTTGTCGGTATTTTTTGTGATAATCACATATATCAGCCTATTCAGAGTACGACATTATCCATAACAAATTACCAAGAATTATTTTTGTTGAGGTCTGGTTATATTAAAGGGAATGGGAGCTTATAATTACCCTATTTCCTACCAAGACCTCATTTTACCCAATTCTGGCAGGCTCGTTTCAAAATGGATTAAGAACCTCGACTCCAGCCTATCCAAAAGCAAGTGGGCAGCAATAGCAGAGTGCAAGATAAACTTAAAGGAGCTAAGTCGCTAATATTTGGGACCTAGAAATTGACAGAAATGGGTCGCAACGCATATAATAATGTAATATGAATGTATATAAACTGATTTACATTCAATCATTTCTGTTTTCACTCTAATTTCAAATCAGTTATGTTCAGCAAAATATGCCATAGGTCTCAATTGAATGACAATCTCTAACTTCTGGTTATTCCAGTCTACACTGATAGTATTTATTGTGTATGCTCTCCAGATAAATACTTGTGGAATATGTCTATCCTTGTTCTTCGAGTCCCGTGTTACAAATGGCACTGAAATGCATTATGGTACACGATTGGTGTACCAATGGTAAAATGTTTATTTTGTCTTAAATATTGACAAAATGTCTATCTTTTCCCAGTAAGACCACTGCATCAATGTTGATTTAAATTGACAAATAATTTGTGTTTTCAATGTCGACATTGAGTTAGAGACTTTAATGTAGGACAGAATAAATTATGCACATTGCAGAGAAAAGGAAAATGGAATGTAAGTCACTGTTACCTCTATCTGCTCATCTCGATCTTCCGCTTCAGTATGTTTTTTATTTTTTCTCCTCTTTTTATTTCTCTTAGAGGCATCTTTCTACAAAAAAATAAATGTTCAATATTATTTAAGTAGTAACATAAATCGGCTGGCTGAAAAGTTCTAAGCCTATCTGTGAAAGACTTGTACAAAGTCGATGGTTTCCATTTATTTTTCTACATAGTCCCCTTTGAGGTGTACACTTTTGCCAACGATGTTGCAAGGCCTGGATGCTGGTCAAGAAGAAATTTTCTTCAGCTGCCCTAAACAGTCATTCACAGCTGACATGATGCCATCATTACTAGGAAAATGACGACAAGCTAGTTCCTTTTTATTTTTGGAAACAGGTCTCATCCAGTTACAGTTTTGTCCATTTCTGGTGATTTCAATGAGGTAGGTTCACAAGATGGTCTAGTACAGTTGCAGTTCTTATGTCTATGATTCATTCAATGATTGTACTTGTTGGCGGCAATTCAACCCAATTGATCTACCGGTACCCTTTTCAGACTTAGAACTTTTCAGACAGTCTTCGAATCTTTTATACCTGCAAATTCAACATCAGATTGTCAATAATGCTATAATAAAATTTACCTTTGCTGCTTGCTGTTTTTCATACATTTCTAACTCTTCCTTATAGATTGCCATTTTTTTCTGAAATTCTTCTTCATATTCTTCTTGAATTTCCATTAATTCTTCTTCTATTTCTTCTTTCCAATGTTTTTGATCTTCAGCTTTATTTGTTTCTTCTCTAAAATACACAAACAACATAATGATAATCTCATCATAAACAAGCCAACAGTGAGGCTGATGTCCCCCGCCGAAATTGCAAAATAAATAGATGACACATATTAATTAATCGCACATTTATTTTTTTCACTAAGTTTCATCACTCTCTATCAGATAGAATCAAGATTATCTTGTCCCAAACCATCGACAAATGAAATCGATTAGCTCTGCTTAGCTTCAGCTCGAAATGTTAATTATTGAACTCAGTCAAGACATTCACCTAATGAACATCTACATATACATCAAGTTTAAACATTCACCTAATAGACACCTATGCCAAGTTTGAACATTCTACCTCAATTAGAAGGAGAGTTATTGTGTTCCAAAGTTTCTACCAATCAAATTGCTTATCACTCTGCTTACCCTCAGCAAAAAATGTTCATTATCGAACTTAGTTAAGGTATTCATATAATAAATCTATACACCAAGTTTCATCAATCTCACTTAATTAGAACTAAAGTTATCGTGTCCCAAAGCATCAACCAATCAAATTGCTTATCTCTGCTTACCCTAAGCGGAAAATGCTCATCTTCGAACTCCATCAAGGCATTGACCTAATCAACACATACACCAAGTTTGAACATTCTAGCTCAATTAGGAAGAGAGTTATCGTGCCCCAAAGTATCAACCAATCAAATTGCTTATCTCTGCTTACCCTAAGCGGAAAATGCTCATCTTCGAACTCCATCAAGGCATTGACCTAATAAACACATACACCAAGTTTGAACATTCTAGCTCAATTAAAAGTTATCGTGTCCCAAAGCATCAACCAATCAAATTGCTTATCTCTGCTTACCCTAAGCGGAAAATGCTCATCTTCGAACTCCATCAAGGCATTGACCTAATCAACACATACACCAAGTTTGAACATTCTAGCCCAATTAGGAAGAGAGTTATCGTGTCCCAAAGCATCAACCAATCAAATTGCTTATCTCTGCTTACCCTAAGCGGAAAATGCTCATCTTCGAACTCCATCAAGGCATTGACCTAATAAACACATACACCAAGTTTGAACATTCTAGCTCAATTAGGAAGAGAGTTATTGTGTCCCAAAAAGTGTGACGGACAGACAGACGGACAGACAGACAGACGGACAGACGGACGGACAGACAGACAGACAGACAGACAGACAGACAGACAGACAGACAGACAGACAGACAGACAGACAGACAGACAGACAGACAGACAGACAGACAGACAGACAGACAGACAGACAGACAGACAGACAGACAGACAGACGGACGAACCCATTTTAATAGTCCCCTGCTTTCTTCGAAAGGCGGGGGACAATTACAGGTAGCACACAAAACTTGTTTTTAAATGTTAGGAATATTGGTTTCCAATGTAATTAAGCAGACACTAAAGTTTTCGAATTAGGTTTCTAACTTTAAAATTTCAGGATTGTGTTCATTGCACCTTTGTTAATTTTTTAAAATATAATTGATGACATCTACTTGTTCAAACTTTTATAAAAAATTTACCTGTCTCGTTCAAGCCTAAAGCCTGGTGCACACTATGCGACAACAAATATCACCGCATCATAAATGGAGTGAGCACACTACATTATGACTTTGGCAATCACACTAAAAAAAAAACGTATCACCTCGTCATGTGACACCCATGAATGCATTTTAGTCGTCATCCCGTTGAATACTTCAATTAATATTGTTTTGTACATGATGAACGACGGTCGAGTGCAGTGCGTTTATAAACCCAGGAGAGTGATTGACTGTCACCCTCCGTTTTCTCGCTACAAGTACTGGAAAAAAGAAACGCCCATTCTTATTACCATCTATGAATCCTAGGACTATATTATCATTTAGTATACTGCTATACAAACGGAACAATCCACTGGGCCTACCATATACATGTATATGACAGCTCACACATTTAATAATAAGTGCCAGAATTGCAAACTTAATTTCCATTAGATAGGCCTAAATTACATTACCCGAGCCACTTATATATGCAACAGAAAAAAAATTCTGAGAAACTTTGTGTGTGTTTATATCACATGAGAAGAATAACCAAAAATGATTGGTTTAATAGGTGAATTTCCTTGGTTGTCGCCTAACTTGTTGCCGAGGTGAGCACATTACACGATTTGTTGCCAACGAAGTGGCGAATCGGGCTATCATATCAAACATGTCTGATATTGACGACCATCGCCGCAATGATTGCTAGCGAGGAAAAATCGCCACCGACCAAATGTGCACACTAGGCGAGTTTTTGATTTTTCATCGTCGGCGACCGAAATTGCCAATGTCGTCGCGTAGTGTGCGCCAGGCTTTAGACCTAATTAAATACGCATTTGTGACATCATCAACAATACCCTATCTTTCAATATGGCATCCCCAAGCTGAAAAATAGGGGCATTTATAACAAATCAAACAAATTTGTTTATTTTGTGTGTAGAAATTATCTGTTAGTCCTGTTTCTACCCTTTCAAATTGATACTGGTTGTTCTGGTTCTGGCAGTGAGTTTACAGCCGCAACCTGTAAGACATTGTGCTGTTTGAATGGGGGTGTCTAGAAAGCTAATAGAAGTGTGGTTTTATGTGTTTTTTGGCAAATAAAAAAACAAAAGAAAAAACTTACTTGATAACTTGTAATTTGATTGGTGTGTTATTATAATTCTGGAACTCCCGTAAACTTTTTAATTCTTTCCATGTATGAATAATATTTTTTATCAAAAGACGATCCGTTTCTTCTTCTTTATCTCTCACTAATCTAGTTTGTCTGTTCAATCAAATTGATAAATATTAGAAATCACAACAGTCAAAATACAAACTCAAATCTTTTGAGATCTTAATAAATACATAATTTCTTTTAACTCTTATATATAGCATATTCAATTAGTGAAATAAAAAAATACTGTAAACCAGAAATAATATTTTCAGGAAATGAATGTGTCAAATGTGACTAATAACCCATTGCATTCATTTCAATATGCATTTTTGTTCTCCATTTCCATGAGGTATGAACTATATAATTTATAGTTATCCTGTAGATCAGTAGCATTGGTCGGAGATAACACCTTCAAAACAATGCATTAATCAACACTGATTAATTAGATGCTACATTAAACAGTGCCACTAATATTACAAAATTACAAGAAACCATCCAGGCAACAGTAGTATACAGCAATTGGCACTAATTTCAATATTTATTTACATCAAACACCTTCAGGTCACATTTATTTAATTACACTTATTTTCTTGGTTTTTATCTATAAGGATGTTAAGAATGTTAAATTACTGGTAATAATTTTCATAAACAATATTAAAGTAATTGTCTTGCCTGATATCATATTTATAATCTTTTAAACGTTTTTCATAATTAGCTCTATCAACAACTGCCATTTCCCCTTTATGGTTTAAAATATATTCATGTAAATGAATTGCCGAGTTCTTTAATGCTTTGACCTGAAACAGAAAGAAAATAATTACTTTATATTGCAAAAAAAAAAAAAAAAACATTATTTCTATTACACTACATTACATTATATTATACTACCTAAAGCTGCTGACTTAAGAAATCTTGTCAATTACAACTCTATCACATAGAGATAAATGACAATCGAGTTTCTAAGTAGACGATATTTAAACAGCATGTGACATCATTATTTTCTAGAGAAGATATACCAGTTTGGCAAAAAAATATGGAAAATTTTTCTACACTGCCAAAAATATACACTTCTATTTCATTTATAAACGTAAAAACAGAACCAGAATAAAGTATGTGATGGTTAGCCTTCACAGGGAAAACAAAGGAAATATTTTAAAATTTGGTTTCTTTCATTATGAAATTCATTCCTACTTTATAACTTTTGTGTAGAAATAAGACATCATATTTCTTACTAAAACGGATCTTACTCATTTATCACTAATAAATTAGATTTTTTTCATTTTTCCTAGCACCCGTGAAATTCTAAAACAATTATTCACCTTTTCTGATAAAAATTCAGTCATATTTTTCTTCTTTCTAGCACCATATTCCTGATAAAGATCTGAAAGTCGTGTAGCTAAAACATGTTCTCTACTAAACAGATGGTGATGGGAGAAGACAATAGAGTTGATATCCACATCTAGTTGATAACGACCATAACCATCCACAGCACCATCTATATATCGACAATCAAAATCTCTCATAATAGCCTGTAATTAGAAAATATAATAACAATTAGTAATAATAACAGAAATGAAATGAAATGAAGACGTACAGTGTGCTATGAGAGAAATTTTGCCTGTACAATGGAGCTACGGCTTTAATATTGAATAACACATGCACAGGACCTTGGTTTATCGTCCCAACAAGACGACTGTCCTGCACCACTGACAAGGAGAACCATGCTGGAAAATCCTGACAAACTTTCTCAGCCAACGCAGAAATCGAACATGGAACCTAGGGAGAGGGGTTTGATATAGGCTATGCCTGTTCCTTAATACCTATTCAGATACAAATGAGAGCAGCTGCTTTAAATACTGTGAAAACAAGCCAGTGCCACCTACATGTATAATCTTGGCTAAAATCTTTTGATGGGCTTTTTATTCTGGTTGGATCAAAGTGGGAAGATTATCTTTTATTAATATTTTGATTTTGTTTTCTTCATTAAAAGTTAAATAATCAACTTGAGTACATTACTGTGTGGATTAAGCCATGATCTGTAAATGACGATCAGCAGCGGCTTTATGCCAAATGTCGGTAATTATTCAATAACAGCAAATATTAACATCTTTATTAAACAAATAAATCAAATATAAACAATGTACATGGTTTTTTACCTTTCTAAAAACTGTTTCCAAATAAGGTTCTGGTTCATCAGTCATTGCAGGTCGAGAAGGATGTTTCTTTAACGGATCTGGTAATGCTATCAAACGACCATCTTCTCCAAACCATTTTCGACCCTTTAAAAAGTAATTTCATATTTTCTAATGTTCAACAGTTAAATATCCTGTACAATTATTTAGTAGTACATCTCGTGTGAACAAATAGACAATAAACTGTTTTGACATATTATTTCTCCTACTCACACAGTACATGACAAAAAACATTCAATTCCAGTCATTCATTTACCTTATCTGGTTCATGAAGCAGACGATTTTCCATTCTATTTAAGTTTCTATTGGCAACCACTGGACGAACACCAACATAAAATCCTTCTTCTTCTAAATATCTTGGCATCTTTTCTTCATCTACCTTTTCACTAGCTGGCACTAAAATAGATAGTTATAATATAAGTACACAATAAACACAAAACCATAATATGGAACACAATTACTATTTTAATTAAAGCGACGTTTTGTTGAAGGTTATCTCAACGTTTTCAAGCAAATGATGATGAAAATAATATACAGAAGGTTTATATACAAAAACAAGTAACAACTAATTAACCATTAATCAATAGGGAAACCATTTCAATATATTAAGTCAAATCATTGTTATAGAATTGGCTGGTGACTTAAAGAGTTAGGCCCTTGGGTGTGATGTTCTTATCGCGTCATTGTAACAGAAAAGACAGATTGTTACTTGCTTTAATATGTTTACCTTCTAATTTACCAATTAAATTCAATGATTTCACTGCCTCATCTCCATATTGATGACGAATATCTTCTTTGAGCGGCATTTAGCAATTGACGTACGTAATCAACACAAAACCATAACATGGAACACAATTGCTATTTCAAATAAAGCGACATTTTGTTGAAGGTTCTCTCAACGTTTTCAAGCAAATGATGATGAAAATAATATACAGAAGTTTTATATACATTAACAAGTAACAGCTAATTAACCATTCATTAATAGGGAAACCATTTCAATATATTAAGTCAAATCACCGATATAGAATTGACCGGTGACTGTATATTATTTTCATCATCATTTGCTTGAAAACGTTGAGAAAAACCTCAACGAAATGTCGCTTTAATTAAAATAGTAATTGTGTTCCATATTATGGTTTTGTGCTTATTATGTATGTCAATTGCTAAATGCCACTCAAAGAAGATTAATAAGTACACAGTAAGTTAAAGCTGCTGATCCTGATTGTGCATTTTTTGGACAATATCTAATTTTTTTCATGGCTTAATCCTTGCTAATAGGTAACATTTGAAGAAGAAAACAAAACCAAAATATCTATGGTAGGTAAACTCTCAGCTTTCATTCAATCAAATTAAAAAGGAGCCCATCGAAACATTTTACCTACAACCCAAAGGTATTGCTGGGCCTTTTTATATCATCTGCTGAAAATAATGAATGTTGTGAAAAGTTCCACTCATCATATCTTTGTAAATAGTGAATGGAAATGAACAATTTTGGACTGATATTCCTTTTAGCGATTCAACTTTCAAATTATTGTAGTTTACCAGGAATTGAAACCACCTTAACTGCTAATCTGTAGCTTTAACTACTTTTGTCATCATATCACCTTGGTATTCTCTATAACTGGTCTCTTTACTTCTTTGATAAACTTACAAAAAGACAAGATATGGTAGGGTTGCATTAATTTCAAAACATATCGTTGCCGATCATCATGATGCATAAATTTCATGACACATTTATTTCTTGTACATGTGTTACAGTAAGAAACTTACTAGAAATAACAGATGGAATAAACAACAGTTGATTATCAGAATCCTCTTTCTTTTTCTTTGATATATATTCAGATTTACGGAATGCTATTGGACCAATTCCTTCTTCATCATGTGGAAATTCATCTAACAGTGGTTGTTCATCTGTAAAATCAAATGTTTTAAATGAAACGTTTTCAGTTATTGAATATTAATAACTTTTTCATAGAACTTTAAAATAATGAATATTGATAGGGGCTTGTCAAGCCCACTGATACTCCCACCAGCAGGTAGTCCTATAACATCAACATACCATATTGTGTTTCTGCTTTTCACACAACAATTTCTGAATAAGACACAACGAACAATCCCTGCAAATTTGATAAAAATTTGTCAAGATCTCTGACTGATCACACGAATTGTGGTTGTTACAAATTTCCTATAAGTCAGACTGCCAAATAATAATTCAATTTAGTTATTCTACCTTCAGGTTTACTCTCATCTTGCTCCTTTTCTTCCTCCTGCTGCAAAAAACAAGCATAATCTTCAATTAGAAAAGAAACAATTATGATAACCACAATTTAAATATAAACTGATTGACAAGTTAGAAATATTTTCATTACGGTAAAATGCCCGTTTTACAGAAATAAAAATTCATTTCATGAATACTCTTATTTAAAAATTACTCTACCTCTTCTTCTTTATCTTTATCTTCTTCATCCCCTTCTCCTTCTTTTTTCTCTTCCTCGCCTTCTGCTCTTTCTTCTTCTCCCCCTTCTTTACTGGTTCCTTCTTTAGGTTCTTCCTTCTTTTGCTTTTTTTTTACTTCTTCTTTTAATTGTTCTTCAGTGACCTCTGGTTCTGGATCCCAATTTCTTGTGAAGAAATCATAAGCTTCCTCTTCTGTGGGCAGACGGTCACCCTGAAGTTAAAATAAAAATTCTTAAAATTTTGGACGAATAACACATATCAAAGTACAAAAATATACATAAAATTAAAATTACATACAAAATATAAATATTTAAGAACATCAGAGAATGACAAAGTACAAAAATATACATAAAATTAAAATTACATACAAAACATAAATATTTTCAGATATAAAAAAAATGACAGCAATGAAGTTGTTGACATCAAATTTAAAATATTTCTAATCATTAGGTACAACTGTAAGCCATGAAATAAATTCACATCTAGTAAAACTGAAGACTTGTATTAAGAAATCAAAGAAATTGAGTTTAAAATACACCATAAATTAGGGCCTTCTGTACTGTCATGGATAAATTTTTATAACATAATATTAATTATTTTTCTCACTAGAAGAACCCTTTATCAGAAAATTAGAAGAAAAAATGTCATGGTTAGGCCTATGTTCTCAATTCTTTAGACATTCAAACTCACAACCACACTGGTGACAGACACCCTGGCTCTCCTTTCTTAAAGATTCAATTCACACAAAATTTTTATATTTAATTGGTCATTAATTTCATGTGGTATGAACATGAACTTCAAGGAAAATATGCAAAATATCAGTGTACCAGTACAAAATCAAAATGAAATGTAGTTGACATACGATTGTGCAATATATACATATAATGGTGCATTTAGATGTGAGGATTTGATGAAAACACAAAAACTTCAGGGTGCATTATAAAGAGACTATTTAACAACTCCAATTTATACATGTAAGTGCAATAAAATATACACAGTGGGAGATTTTCATAAAGCAGGTGAAAAGATAGGTTGCCAGGCAACAAAACATACGCCCACAGCAGCTAAATCGTCCGAGCGGTCGTCAAGGGTTGTCGCATATTTATTCCTTTGTACGTAATTGGGGGTCTTTACAAGACAGTTCCATACAGATCAGATTATAAATTTTGTCGTTTGAGGGTTTACAAGGTTCTACAAACTGAAAAAAGGGTCTCAACTCTGGAAGTAATCTACAGAAATTGTTGAAATTTGACAGGCTTTTTCGTTTTACTAATTTAAATAATGCATATAAATTTCATAAAGATCACATGATCACTTTTGTCATTCAAACGTTCACAATCGCCATAACTCTAGAAATTATTGACGGAAATTGCTGATATTCAATAGACCTGTTTCACAAATTTAAATGATGCATATAAATTTCATACATATCTGATGATAACTATCATCAATCGAGCATTATCAAGGTTTAAACAAAGTGAAACAAGGACAATAACTCTAGAAGTAATTAATGTAAATTGCTGAAATTCAATAGGCTTTTTTGTTTCGCTAATTTAAATCATGCATATAAATTTCACAAAGATCGGGTGGTAACTTTTTGCGTTAGAGCGTTCACAAGGATCAATAAAGTGAAACAAGGGCCATAACTCTAGACGTAATAAATGGAAATGGCTGAAATTCAATAGGCTTCTCCGTTTCACTAATCTAAATAATGCATATAAATTTAACAAAGATCAAATGATAACTTTTGGCGTTGTAGCGTTCACAAGGATCAATAAAGTGAAACAAGGACCATAACTCTAGACGTAATAAACTGAAATTGCTGAAATTCAATAGGCTTCTTCGTTTCACTAACCTAAATAATGCATATAAATTTCAGAAAGATCGGATGATAACTTTTGACATTGGAGCGTTCACAAGGTTCAATAAAGTGAAACAAGGGCCATAACTCTAGACATAATAAACGGAAATTGCTGAAATTCAATAGGCTTCTTTGTTTCACCAGTTTAAATAATGCATGTAAATTTCAGAAAGATTGGATGATAACTTTTGGCGTTAGAGCGTTCACAAGGTTCAACAAAGTGAAATAAGGGCCATAACTCTAGACGTAATAAACGGAAATTGTTGAAATTAAATAGGCTTCTTCATCTCACTAATGTAAACAACATATATCAATTTTAAAACAATTGGATGATAACTTTTGGCGTTAGAGCGTTCACAAGAAATTGTGGACGATGGACGGACGGACGGACGGACCGACAGACGGACGGAGGCGACGGCAATATACTTCCACATTTTAATGTGGGCGTATAAAAATTAATTATGCTCAGCCAAAGAATTGAGATTTTTCTAATTTTGACAATGATCAGAGAACAAAATCTTTTTGAAGAGTGAAATCTGTAAGTCCAAACATTTTTAGGGGTTTAATTAAATGAATGCGTGGTACATAACAAGTGATGCATTCCTATACAAATCCACAAGCAAAACTCTTTTAGAATGTGGATAGTTGAATTGCGAATTCTCTAGTGATTGCATCATACTTGACGATAATATATATTACCCTGTACAAAATGATTAGCTGTAATTAATGATGGAATTAACAATTAAGTAATTAGTATAATAAATTACAAACAGCACTCTTTATGATAAACTGCAGATAAAAATTATGGGTTGATCTAAATAAAAAAATAGATGTTTTGTGTATGTGGTTAGTCATTACATCAACATCTCAAGACATGTTTTAATAAAGTGTGCACTCTGCCTATGATTACAGCATGATAATACACCTCGATAATGTCTTGATAATCAGAGTCTTTCTAAAGATTCAGTAAAGCAATCATCAGTAGGTTGATCTGAAGTCAACCAATCACAATCTGAACATTACTAAATGTGATCTACCGGTATAATGAAATTTCGTTACACTATGTGGAGTAAACAACCAAAAAGTAAAACGGAATTACTTGTTGGTAAAATATTATGTAGACTGTTACACAATATCTCTAGAAGACAAATGATGATATTCCAACCTCTATTGATATCATCTATTTATCTGGGAATATATGAATTCATAAGGAATGACACTAATGACATAATATATGGATAAGAAACAAGTCCAATCATGTATGTTTATGACTCATTTCACTTTCATGACAATTTCGCATCCTCAAGAGATATTACCTATGTGATAGAATCGGATTTTGAAGAAAGAATGTTGCTATGGTTGTGGATCTGCGAAACTGACCTGTAAATTCAGGATGTGATGTGTTATTAAATAAAGTAGAGAGCGGCAATACTACAGGCCAATAATTATCATCTCTTTTTTCTGAAACCTGTCTGTGTAGCTGTTATTGCTTTCTACTTAAGTTAATAACAACAGCTGATTGCCTATCACTGTTTCAAATCCTTAACCTAAAGGTCAATGTCATAGATCAGCCATAGCAATAATCTGTGTAGTATATAGGGCCCCAAGAAAATTTTGAAATTTTGATGTGATTTTTTTGCAATTTGAGTGACTTATTATTAACATATAATGGAAAGCCGCTGAGATAAGAAATTCGCTGGTATGCACAATGACACATTCCTGTCGACAAAACATGAATATGCCAGGAAATAACTGATAGATTCAAAGAACCACAGAAACGTACTTTCCAGTGATGTATAACACCATAATTGGAATTTTGTAGTAAGACCTGTTTGCATTTTCCAATAAGACATTTGTCCTTTGACACATTACTTTTGACGTATTACATTTAACTTTGGCCTTCGAGGTATGTTGACTTTATAATTACCCGTATTAGGACTTTGTACATTGTACTTTTTACATATAATTAATCGACAAGACATTTTAGCAGAGCAATTAATATTGGCAGCGATACCCTTTCATAGACCTATGACGATTTTTTTTTTTTTTTTTGCAAAAAAAGTGCAGGGTCGAAGCCCCCGGCTCCTGTATTTAAAATCAGTGGAAAGTGACTTTATCTTTTAAGAGTCCGGAACTGTAGAAACAACAAGTTGTGAACTATTTCTTTGCTAACGTTTCCCAAAATGTTTAATCTGCAGATATCAAAAGCAATAACCCACAAAGAAATATAAAGCTGGTAAATGTTAGTTTAAAATATATAAACAGCAAGAAATTGAACAATTAAAACAGTTCAACCTTCTTAAAACTCTGAACTAAAATTTACCCTTAATTCCATCTCCTGTTAAATGAAATATACATTGATATAGACAGACATACAAATAAAGCTAAATATATAGGCATATACAGATATAAATAATGAAAATAAAAAACTACATTAGCACTACCAAATGATATAGATCCAATAAATCTTTATGCATCTTTTACTGGTTATCAAACGTGGGATGAAGTATCCAACGATCATGGCAGGGTACTATAAATGCCATCAATACTTCACTAGACTATGAGAGAGAGAGAGAGAGAGAAATGGGGCTTAACGTCCACTCGACACAAACCAGGTCATTTCAGGAGTAACATATGGATTTCATTTTATTTCAATAATTCGCTTGCGCGTAGGGGTCTTTAGCAGTGGGCGGAAACCGGAGGACCCGGAGAAAACCCACAAGGTTGGACAGGCGACCCTACTCCTTGTCATGTACAACTGACGATTTGAAATCACGCCAGTTTACTCAATGACAGGCCTTATGGTACAGCGCACCCGTGCTAACCATTCGGCCATTCAACCCCCCAACTAGGCTATGATTTCTACTGGTAATTTAAGGACAGTCCAGATTGGTGTTGTATTGTTGACCAGTTAAGTTTTCCATGAATTTCCTATCATAAATTTGAAAAACAGATGGGAGCTGGTCTGGCTACATAATATGCTAGTTCTAAAATGATTGTTAATAAAACTGAAATAGCGTTCAATTGTCACTTGATACATGCCAAGAGATTGGGTCTAAACTGTCACTGTCTGCACAACATACTAGACCTCTCAAATAATGACCGGGAATAAAGTGGCTGTAACAAATATCAAAATTACATCCTGTAACACCTAAAAAAAATCTCCAATAAAACAATACCTTTTCTCCTTTGTCTTCCATTTTTTGACGTCTGGATTTCAGAAGTTTTGATTTTTCTTCCAAAATTCTTTCCATTTCTTCCTCATTATACTATGAAACATAGATATATATTTATATTTAAAACATAAAGTAAATGTTTTTCATTACAGAAAAATAAAAATCCACAAACTGAACAGCTTTTCAACAAAGTTATATAATGTTGTTATCTATATTCAGTATTGTCATCTCTCAGGAAATAATAGCTCTTCTTACTAAGAATGTTGTTTAATCATGTGTAAAGAATCCTAACTGTGAAAATAGAACTTTCGAAAAATAATATGAAACGGTATGAGTTAAATAACAACCAACTAACATCTTTATCAAATCTTGTTGACTTTTTACTTCTTTCATCTCTTAGCCTTTTTCTTTCTTCTCTTTCTTCCTCAAGAATTTCATTGTCCGCTTTTTCCTGTAATCATAAGGTTGAAGTCTATTTTTGGATATATAAAGATGCATTATGTAAGAGCTAAATCTGTCTATTACAGATCTTTCATTTGGCCTAAAATGTTATATAAATCATTAATTAGACATTTATTCACATGCCAAGCTCATATTCCACACTCTAGACCACCGGATGGTTGAGAATTTCAACGGATTTAAACATGATCGCAACTTAATAATTCAATTAAAAACTGGATAAACAAGACTTTGTTTATTATCGTAGCAATTGTAACAAAGACAATCAAGACTATACTATTCTTCAAATGACTATAACTCTGCTCAGAATTAAGTAATTTGACTGGAATTTTCATCATCTAATTTTTTTAACTATTATTGCGAACTGTTGACTTTTTATAGAAATCATAGAAATCTTACGTAATGCATCTGTGAGAGAGAGAGAGAGAGAGAGAGAGAGAGAGAGAGAGCTCTCACACTAATTAGGTCATTTCAGAACAAACATATGGATCAATTTTTTTTAATTATTCGATTGCACAGAGGGGTTTTTTAGCAGTGGGAGGAAACCGGAGGACCCAAAGAAAACCCACGAAGATGGGCAGGCAACCCTACGCCTTGTCAAGTACAGCCGGGGAATCGAAACCATGCCAGCTGATCCAATGACAGACAATATGATACAACGTGCACGCGCTAACCAATTGGCCATCCAACCCCCCTTCTTTAAAATGTGTATGATTTCATCAAGGTATAAAATATGACAATTCAAACACAACCCTACTTATAAATAATTTCTTATGCCTAAAATGCTGACAATATTATAGGTTTTATACAACAGCCTTCTATGTTTAAATTAATGATTAAGTGTAATTTTTAGGAGGTACATTAAGGATGTTTGCTTGAAACTGTTGCACATCTCTCAATTGTAATAATCTCTATTAGACAATGAAAATATAGGTCATTCCATGTTTAAGTGGGTCAATTTTAAAATTTTTTGGGAAATCGACCCCCTGGAAAAAATATATGTTATTGTACATGCAAAAACTAGAAACTGTGCGAAGTTTGTGGTCTGTAGCTTAAAAATTGACTGAGACACAGGCATTTGAGTTTCATGAGTTACCGATAAGTTTTTGAAACAAAAGATGTACCAATAATTTACTCCAGTTTCAGATATCTTGTTTTTAACTTCTAGTAAAGAGAGAGAGAGAGAGAGAGAGAGAGAGAGAGAGAGAGATGGGGTTTAACGTCCACTCGACACAAACTAGGTCATTTCAGGATTAACACATGGTTCAATTTTATTTCAATAATTCGCTTGCGCGTAGAGGTCTTAAGCAGTGGGAGGAAACCGGAGGACCTGGAGAAAACCAACGAGGTTGGACAGGTGACCCTACTCCGGGGAATCAAAATCACGCCAGTTGACTCAATGATAGACCTTATGATACAGCACGCATATGCTAACCATTCGGCCATCTAACCCCCTTTCTAGTAAAGATATACAGCCCAAATCTGGTAGTGTTAGAATCTACAATCAGATTACAGGTGAGTGGTAGAGTTCGCATGCTACTTGGCCATGAAAACCGAAAACAAATTGGTGTAATTGTATATTTTCTGGAATTTGTAGTGCTCCAGGAGCTACAAGGTAATAGATATAGACCCAAATTTTAACCTATCCAAATATTACCGGTAGTACTACATAAGAAACATATTATGAGAACACACCAGCCTTCACTAGATTCCCAGACAATTGGCCTCAAATATGGTTTTAGACATAAATTTTCGACAATTGCCTAGTATTTTTGAGCTGAAATAACCTAGTAGATAAGCACCTGAAATTCTGAAACTTGGGGTGTAATTATAGTTTGTACTAATGTCTTCAACATATGTTAAAGTCATTCTTATCCCATGCCATTATTTTTTCGATTTTTTCAAAATGTGTGGTTTGGGTCATTCCATGTCAATTATCACCCAATGAGTTAAACCATACCCACTTCGATTTTGCTGAAATTTGGTTTATATGCTTATTTGGGCTGTAAAAGCTGATATTCCAAATTTTAGCTTTCTGACTAACGGTTCCTGACATTCGATCCACACAATTTTGGGGATTTCGGCCAAAATGGGCGTGGCCACTATTATTTGAATTGTCGGGGAAGTGTCAAAAGGGTGTATCTCGGGAAATTAGTCAAATACACTTATTCGCATTTTTAAAATCTTCCAATTAATATGCACATTTCTGTCTAAGCTGTGTACGCCAATTAGAACTGTTCTGGGTATCATGTGTCCAAATGTTGTATCTTGATTTGTGGAAATTTTGAAATCCACAAGGTTCTATTTCTTAATCTTTAGAAATTCTTAGATACACCCTTTTGACACTTCACCGACGAAATGACCATTTTTCAGTCATAATAAACATGTAAACCAAATTTCTGCAAAATCGAAGTGGGTACGGTTTAACTCATTGGGTGATAATTGACAAGGAATGACTCAAAACACAGATTTTGAAAAAAACGAAAAATATTGAGATGGCATGGGACAAAAATGGTTTTAATATTAGAGACATTAAACTATAATTCCACCAAGTTTCAGATTTTTAGGTGCTCATCAAACCTGGAAATAAGGCACCTGTCACTGACAATTTCAGGCACAGATTCAGGCTTTGTCAGGCATTAAACCTCTGGTGCCTGTCATTTTGTCTGGCACCGATTTGTCTTTTTTATTGATATTATTAATACATGTTCGGCATTAAGTTGAAAATGTCAGGTACTATTTCATTGGTGCCTGACATTTTGTCAGGTACATGTAAAACCGTTATTTCTAGGCCTGCTCATCTACCGGGTTCAATCAGCTCAAAAATATGATAATTGACATAGATTGACTCAAAACACAGATTTTGAAAAAATCGAAAAAATACTGAGATGGCATGGGACAAGAATGGCTTTAACATATGTTGAAGACATGAGTTTCAGAATTTTAGGTACTCATCTACTGGGTTCCAAGGCAATTTTTGAAAATTTGTGTCTAAAACCATGTTCGAGGCCAATTGTCTGGGAATCTAGTGAAGACTGGTGCGTTTTCATATGTTTCTTATGTAGTACTTTTAACAATAACTGGATAGACCAAAATTTGGGTCTATATCTATTACTTTGTAGTTCCTGGAGCACTATAAAATCCAGAAAATATACAATTACACCAATTTCTTTTTGTTTTTTTATGACCAAGTGGCATGCGAACCCTACCACTCACATGCAATCTACACAAAAAGTTCTTTAAGACAACCAAATGTGAGCTGTTGAGACAATCAAATGTGAGCTGTATATCTGCACTAGAAAAAGTAAATAAAAGATATCTGAAATTGAGTAAATTATTGATACATATTTTGTTTCGAAAACTCATTGGTAACTCAGGGAACTCAAATGCCCGTATCTCAGTCAATTTTCAAGCTATAGATCACAAATTTTGCACAGTTTCTAGTTCTTACATGTACAATCACATATATTTTTTTCCAGATTTTTTCGAGGGGGGCTATTTCCCACCCCTGGCCCACTTGAAATGGAATGACTGATAAGTAACAGAAAATTTTTAAGACCTTTTTCTACATCTATGACCACCAATTTAGTTAAAATCTACAGATAAATACGGGGTAAATACTACCTTAGCTTTCTGAACACGACTCCGTAGTCTTTCTCTAACAGAGGCACCACGTAAACTTCTACCTGTAGTTTTAGCTTCTTCCATTGTATCAGCTTGACTATCTATAGTTGTTGATGTTTTATCTAATACCGTTTCTGTTTAAAAAAAATAAATCTCATTAATAAAAATGAAATAAGCAGTGAAAATGAATAATTTCATGATGTAAAAACATAATATATTACAGCTATTTTAATACTGTATCCGAAAACCTCCCATATATTCTCAAATAAGCATTTGAAAACCCTAATTCGTAAATTATTTGGCAACCAAAAAAAGATTTGCTTACATTTAATGAAATTATCAAGAGATACACAACAGACATCAGTTGAGCATTTTATGTATTTGAATTTAAACAGAATTTCTAAATAAATATGCATATTTAATAATTTCTATGATTAAAAACAGCATAATCTTATTCATATATACTAAGCAGCAAAAGAAACGTTATTTTGGTATGTTACTCTAAATAGACGCATTGCATAAAACTTGCCAAATGTTTTTATTGTATATTTGTGACCACATCTCCAACTTGACCTGAGCAATAAGACTCCTTCCCAAACACAGAATTGAACCCAGGAAATGTTCTGAAAAACGCAACCTGGCTTCTAAGATAGTAATGTGTTCTCCATGATTTTCATGTAAATCATGCTGCAAGTGCTGTTCAATGGAACCAGCACTATAAAATGCACTCCCATACCTGGTTGAATCATTCACACTACAATGTCAGCAGCATGCCACAACTCACGACAGATCAGAGGAACCAGGCGCTTGGAAGATTCGACGCTCGACACACTGCCCAAGCCGATGCCAATCACTTCCAGGTCAATGTTCGAACCATCTACAGGCTTCAACAACGCTTTCGGGCCACCAACACCACGGATGAACGCCCCCGAACTGGTAGACCAAGGGTTACCACAATGCAACAAGACTGCCATGTTGTGCGACAGCATGTGCAGAATCCCTTCACACAGGCATCTGAGACAGCACATCAGACAGTGGGAACACACAGAGACCCATCAGTACCGATACAGTGCGCCGACATCTCACTAGAGAGAACATCCTTTGCCGTAGACCTTACCGTGAAACAATCCTCACCCCTCGCCATCGACATGAACGTCTACAGTTTGCCCAACAACACCAAAACTGGCGACACAGGTAATGGAGAACTATTCTGTTCACAGATGAGCGTTGGTATTGTGTATTAACTGCAGATGGCAGGACCAGAATATGGCGTCAACGTGGCCAGCGTTATTATGTGTCATGGAGTGAGACTCATGGGTAGGTCCAAGCATAATGGTTTGGGATAGAAACGCCCTGAACCAGAAAGTGGGTCCTGTGGTGTTCCAAAATCTTGGTCCAGGTAGAGGAGGCGGCATCACAGCAGTGCGCTACATCGATCAAGCTCTCAGACCCGTGTCCACACCGCCAGAGTTACTTGGGACTGTCTACAGCAAAACGGTGTCAACGTTATGCACTGGCCAGCCCTTAGTCCGGACTTAAACCTGATTGAACATCTTTGGTATGAAATTCAGAGGAGACTTAATAACGTCGTACCGAGACCAAACACAGCCGATGGATTGCGCCAGGCTTTTCTGAGAGTGTGGTTCCAGGCGCTGCTGTTATTGACACTCGCAGTGGACACCCCAGATACTGATGTATAGATTGTGTACAAACTCTAAACCTTCTCGTAATGTCTTGGAATTGTGACGAATTAATCACTAATGTGTCAACATACTGTTCACAAAAAATTGCTTTAATCCATTTAGTAGGTCGTTTTCTAGATTGATTTGATCAAAGTGCCTCTCTGATTTTTTTTGCTGTTTAGTATAGTTAAAATGTACCATCTACTGTTTCTGAAATTATTTTTAATTCTTCTTCAATTCTAGTTGTGGTGGTGATAGTTTCATCCACCATTGTCTCCTCCTCTGGCATAGGTACTGTTCCATCTTCTGTGGATGCTGCCAGAGCTGCTCTCTGAGCTTCCATTTCTTCTTGAGCAGTTTCATCTAATTTCTGTCTACTGCGTTTCTTCACGGTTTTCATTTCACCTGCCAAATCATCTTGTGGACTTCTGAGTTGTGACAACTACATGAAAAATAAACAACCGCAAAATCAAAAATGGAATGACATTTGGTATAGAACTCATTAAACACGTTCCAAATATAATTTTAACACCGAGATCATTGTTAAGATAGATGCTTAATAAAGTTTCAACAATCGAAAGTGACGAACGGAAAAGGAAAACCCATGGGAAAAAGACCCTACTTGTCACGAACAACCTTGGCATTAAAACCATACCATTTGAATCAATGACAGAGAAAGAGTGAGAAATAGGGTTTAACTTCCACTCAACACAAACTAGGTTATTTCGGGACTAACACATGGTTCAATTTTATTTAATTAATTCGCTTGTGCGTTGTGGTCTTTAGCAGTAGAAGGAAACTGGAGAACCTGAAGAAAACCCACGAGGTTGGACAGGCGACCCTACTCCTTGTCACATAAAACCCGGGAAAAAAACTACGCCAGTTGACTCAATGACAAACTTTGTGATACAATGCGCAAGCACTAACCATTCAGCCATCAACCCCCCTTGACTCAATGACAGACCTTATGATCTAAAGCACACACATTAAACCATTTGACCCCCTCCCAATATATAACAAAATGATTATTACTGGTAAACCCACCTCTTTTAATTTCCTTCGATGTTTTGTCTTTAATTCTTTCTTTAATGTTTCTGCTTGCCCAGCTTCTAGTATCTGAAATTGAAGATAACAATTTAACAAGCAATCATCCAGCCATAACAAGGGCAGAAACAGTTACTCAAAGAGCTTTACAAAGACATTATACTAAACTTGACATTCAATATTTCTTTATAATATAGGAAGAGGCTTGAGCTCTTACTCTCGTAATAAATTGTGTATCTTAAATTAACATAAACTAAATTAGTGTGAAAATTGAATTACAGAAATAAACTATCTGCTTTTTAAAGATGCATTATGTAAGAGTTAGATAAAGAAATAAAGAGCTGAAAGTTCTCTCTATAATATACTGAGCGCCATGGAAAACGCATCACTTTTTTTCCCAAATATTTTATTACTAGGTGGTTTTGTATGTATAATATTATGTAATACTATGAACTATTGTTTCACACAATGTTCCCAAACGCAAAAAATATCGGCCTGTGTGCACAAAAAAAAATTGCACTAGATGCACATGAAAAACTCAATATTCACGTGCAGCATTGTGTGTGAGCCCTTTAAAAGCATGTTTTCAACTTAACGTGCAGTACATGAACTGTGAAACGTCAATCTGTCGTAATTTGTTGTTGGACGTGTGAAGAAATCGAGCTAGAGATGCCGAGACTTACTGAAAATCAATGGAATGAATCCATGGGAATGTCCCGGGCTGGCAAATCTACACATGCTATTGCCAGACACTTCAAGTGTCATCAGCCCACTATTGTAAGGTTGGTGGAACGTGTTCGAGTTACTGGATCAACACGTGACCGTCAACGTCCTGGTCCACAACGCGTTACAACCCAGGCTCAAGACCGCTACATCCGAGTCACTCATCTGCGTCACAGATTCCGCCCAGCGACTCGAACAAGTGCAGCAGTCGTCGGAAGACAAGGACCAGTAAGTGCCAACACCGTAAGACGTCATCTAAGAGAAGTAGGACTCCGTGCATGACGACCTTATGTTGGCCGTCAACGTGTGTGGAGACGTCTTGGGGAACGTCTTGCAGATTGCTGCGTCTCCGAAACAAATCGATTGGGTTGGGGAAGTGTAGTGGTGTGGGGAGGCTTAACATTTCATCCGCGGACCGCCCTACACATTTCATCCGCGGACCGCCCTACACATTTGCAGGGGTCGCGTTAATGCTGTAGCCTACCGTGATGATGTCTTGCAACCAATTGTTGTTCCGATGTTTCAAGCGCACCCACAACTTCAGCACTTCCAACAGGATAATGCACGTCCGCATACCGCCCGTTTTAGTATGGACTACCTGGCTGCTAACAACATCAATGTCTTGGACTGGCCAGCTATGTCTCTGGACATGGCACCGATAGAACATGTCTAGGATGAGATTGGACGCCATCTGTATCGGAGACCACAGATGCACACCATTGCTGCTTTAGAAGCTGCTCTTGTCCAAGAATGGAACAATTTGCCCCAGGCATTCTTTCAAACATTGGTTAGTTCCATGCAACGTCGCTGCACAGCGTGCGTAAGAGCCCGTGGAGGACACATGCGCTACTGACATCTGTGTCGTACTTTTGGTTTTGACCCCTCTGACTTTGTACCGTTGATTACAGATTAAACATCCATAAGTGTACAAATGTGTGGTTATTGATGTGTTCCCATTTGAATATTGTTCACAATAAGAAGCAAAATAAATAAGATATGTTTACAGGATCATTTTGTTATACGAAAAACTAAGTGATGCGTTTTCCATGGCGCTCAGTGTAGTTAAAAAAAAAAAGATAATGAAAAGGGGACAATTTACTTCATTCTGAGCCGAGTTATTGCTGTTTTCGGAAAAGTGTAGTCTTGATTGTCATTTCTACCGTTGTTATGATAATAAACAAAGTCCTGATTATCCATTCATTATGGACTTGGCATGTGAATAAATTAATGATTTATATAGCATTTGAGGTCAAAGGAAAGTCCTGCATTAGGCAAATTTAGCTCTAACATAGTGCATCTTTAATTAATCTATTTAAGATAAAGAACTGAATTTGGGTTTCATTGGAAATCAGTTTTTATATCAGGGGAAAAAATCAAACAATAACAATTTAACAATGATTCTGAACATGAGGTCATTTTATAAGTCCATATTTGTGTTTAACAATGCGAGAACGTAAAAGAATAAATATATAATAATATTAAACCTCTGCAGCTGAAGATTCCCCATCGGTATGTGACAGAGCCTGGTAAGCAGTTTCTGTATCCGAATCCTGAAAAATATTAACACATTCAATGATGTCATAATACGCATTGACAGTTGAATTAACAATAATAAAATATGAATAAATTTGTTGATATTAATGTTATGTTCACATTAAAATATATCGCCACTGATTTATAATAATACCTTGCAGTTTCATAAGATATATTGTGTAAATAAAGTGGGTTTTGTCGAGCAGGAATAATGATTGTAAATTCATTATGAATGCAAATATCTTGTTTCAATGAGAAGTTCAGAAGTGGTGTCATGACGCTCATATTAAATTATCTTACCACAATCAAATCCCTCAGTATCGGCATCAGGATATATTGTATAAAAAGTAGGTTCTGACGTGCAGGAACATAAATTCAGTATGAATGCAAATAGCTTGTTTCAACAAGACGGTTTTCGTCTATCTCTTGGTAAAACTTTATAATTTGTGTCCAAATTTAAACGGCTGACCAAAGAAATGCCACCTACATGCGGTAATATACATGTAAAAGTTGTATTGGTATTGTTCGTAAATTTGCTTATACCCCCACCCCACCCTAATTTGGAAAAATGATCAGTCAATTATTTAAAACATCCAAGTTATACCAACATAACTATAACTTAATGTTGGGATACCTTTATTCCAACACTGCAAAGAGAATATGACACGGATGTACAGGTCTTTACAAGTACAAAATTGTATATAAATATAATTGAACAATAATTTACCATGGCTGGGTTAGAGGAACCATCTTCAGTACCCTCTTCATTTTCCAACAATGGCTGCTTCTTTGACCGTCGTTTCCTTTTACCATCCATTTTATTCTGTGTATATGTGTCAAGTCTGTAAATAAATATACTTAATTTAACCTATATGTAGCCTTTTATTTGGATATTTGGGTTTAATTCACTTTTACTATAGTCAGCAGTATGTGCCTCTTTTCCTAGCCTTCTTGATAACTACTAAGAAATGTAGTTGATGACCATGTCAGAGTCGGAACAATTAATATTATTGCCCTGCATTATTATTGCCAAATTTTCTGAAGCTGAGGTTTTTAATAATTTACAGTATTTGAGTACTTTATCAGCGAAATTGTATATTGGATACCTTTCATGTGACAACATAAATCACGTTGGCAATCACAGAAAAGTGAGATACTGGTACTCAAGACAGATAGGGGTCTAATATATCTGACAGCTTTGTATGTGGCAGACGTTGGTGAGACAAGACAAAAGTGTTTGGCATTATTCATTGGGGAAAATCAGATGAAGCCTATTGATTTAAATTCTGTAGAATTGCCACATTGTGACATTTGCATGATTTTTTGAATGCCATGGCATTTTCTTTAGTTCACTTATCGCAACAGCGGAGTGATGAAAGAGGAATAAATGACATTAAAGGATTTAAACCTCTAACTCAATATCTTAAAGAATATTCGAAATTAAAAACACAGAATTCAATACTAGTCCAGTTCAATCAATATTGATGTTGTTATCTTACTGTGAAAATATAGTATCCTAATATCCAATATTTAGGACATAATGCACATTTTGCAATCAGTGCACGAGTCATGTATTCTATGGTTTTGGGCGCCATTTGGAACGAAGACAGAAGAATATATTCTACCAAACAATGGGTAAGTATTTAGTAATGACTTATTCACAAACGACAAAATAATAATAACAAAGCGCGTAGACTGGAATAAGCAGGCGTAAATGATAATCGTTCAATTTGGACTGTTCACATATACATGTATCACCAAACATAATTGATTAAAAATCAAAATCACTTTAAAATATCTATTAGGGAATTGATATATTCAGAACATTTCTATATTTAATTAACTGTATCGAATTTGGCACTCTGTATAATACATGTATATATGCACAGATCTCACAATTCAGAAATTTCTGCATTTGGCTATCTGTATAATATTATACTGTACATATGTATATGTACGAAGCTAACCCTAATGTGACATCCAATATAATAGAGTGCCAAATTCAGAAATTTCTAAACTTTAAGCTTTGTATATAAATGTATACATGTTATACAGATTACCAAATTCCGAAATTTCCGAATTATGATAAATAATTGATAAATAATTTGTGTTTTCAACGTGTAAGTAGCAATGCAAAAGCTCGCTAGGGGCGCCACTGATACTGTTTTTATCACTGTCAAAAAATCTGACCGCAAAATGTGCCGTTTTTGTTCCGCGACTTCAGGAAGGTGTATGACCACCAACACCGATGACTTTTTACTTTTCGTGAAGAGGAGAAAACAGAGTCTGTTTCGAGCGTGGTTTGGTCATTCAGAAACGTATTTATGACTGATTTTTTATATTTTGAAAAAATAAAATGAATACAAAAAGGCAAAAACGACGCTCGTCACTGGAAGTAAACATATTTTCTCATAAAATGACCCCTTTTCTTGTTATATTGACCTATATTTCATTCATCAACCGTTGGAACTAGTGCCCGAACCAGGGAAAACAAATCATCAGGAAGAAAAGAAGATAACTCCACCCGATGTGGGTGCAGACCACAGCCGCTTTCTTGTTATTGTGAACATGTTCAACCAAGTTTCCCTTTTGCTAACAGTGGGCTAGTTCAGGGGCACGATTTTCGCATGCACTTTTTAGGGGTATATAGTCTGGTGCACGGTTTGAATTCTTTCTCTTGTATTGTTACAATATTTATTGATTCTAATAACACTTCCATAAAATTAATTGTTTTTTAAAAATTATATCTTGGATTACTTTCTATTTCGTTGGTGATCAAATGACAGCCATATGGAATCTGTTACAAGAAAATGAAATGGAGTTTAATGTTCTACTCCTACTGGGCTAATGAAGACGGTGGGGATGTGAGTGAGGGGAACACGCCATTGCAATGTGCTATGAGAGGAAACTTTGCAAAACAGCCGTCCAACAGCCTAGTGCAGAGCCTACTCTTATTTCGAATTCCAACTGTCTAGGGTTCTTTTATGTGCACACAGGACATGAGTTTTCCATTCTATCCAAATGATTATGTTGTAACTTGCTAGGCCTCCCCTCGTACATCTGGGGGAGGCTGGTGTGTATAACACAATGAATTTGCTCGGCCAATGCAGGAATTGAACACGGCACATCCAGTTGAGTGAGCCAACGTCCTACCCACTGAGCTACCGTGGCTCCCTGTTCCAAGAAAAGAGAATGGGCTAGATGAGTATAGGATGTCCAGTGCTCCATCCCCAGAATTCACTTTGTTTTGTGGATCAGACAACCTGACAATGATAAGTTGAATGAAAAACAATGTTGTGCGTACGTATTGGCGGCACACATCAAACATCCCTAGATACCTACAAATCGAGGAGCAGTGTCGGAAGTCGTTATAAGGATTAATTCTACCAGAATAAAGCAATACCCGTAATTTGAGGTCCATCATATGTGAATTCTATCTTAAAAAGTCTTCAACGCAAATTAACAAAATTTGGGTTTTTTATCCATGTTGCAGACCCAATATCAAAACAAATAAATCATATAGCCCAAATTTAAAAATTCCAATAGATAGTTAATGGTTGGAAGGATATTTCCTGAAAATTTGATGCCAATATCTCCAAAAGTTGCTGAGAAATGGTCTTCGGTCGCTTTTTTGGCATATTTTAAAAAAAGTGTATACTGACATCCATCAATTTGGGGTCTTAAAAGTGCAATAACTTTTTTATTTGTTAACCGATTTTTAAATTTTGGGGGGTTTCTTAAATGGGAAGGGGGTTGGAATGCTAGTAAATATTCACTTCAGTTTTAGTCAGATTTAAAAATATAAAAAAGCTTTTGCATTGCTAGTGTTAGTGTAAGACTTTGGATGATAGTGAGTTAGAGACTTAGCTACAGCTTTACTATAGTAGATGTAAGTAAACTGGTATCATAGCCCATTTTAACACAGTGAGTCGAGTGTGTGGGCTAGACTACCGTTATATCAAAAACCTGTAGGGGAGCCGAGGGATCAGAGAAATAAAAAAAAGCTTTCTAGTTTCTCACATCAAAAATAGACCAAAAAATGTTTTCTTTCATTATTATTGGAATAGTATTTTTGTAATACAACCGCACAATTAAGCTACAAGAGAAAACAAATAAACCTTTACCTTTTACACGATCATTTTCATATAAAACAATAAATTTACAAGAAAAACAACGTGAAACGACTTGTCATATTCGGCGGTGTGGAGGTATTTTGTAAACATTAAAGAATGTTCAAAGGGAGTTAAGCTACAATATTCACGGATTACTTCCCATGATACTACACCACATCGATCAAGATCTCTGTGAAACAGATTGATACTACACCTGCAATGTCACACTGTATCATCTTATGTAAACCAAGTTTTTTGTATAAATTTTTCTGGAATCGAAATTTCTTTAAATTGACTAATGGATAAAACATTAAAAATCAATGTAATAAACAGTGGTTAGCGCTACACTACGTTTTTCGTGAATGCAACGGGAAGTCTGATTGGAGTTCACATGGGCTAAATTGGACCATTTTCAGGTTGCTGTATTCATGGGCTACAATATTCACGGATTACTTCCCATGATATACTACACCTGCAATGTCACCTGCACTGTTTCATATGTAAAGGGAGTTAAGCTACAATATTCACGGATTACTTCCCATGATACTACACCACATCGATCAAGATCTCTGTGAAACAGATTGATACTAGACCTGCAATGTCACACTGTATCATCTTATGTAAACCAAGTTTTTTGTATACATTTTTCTGGAATCGAAATTTCTTTGAATTGACTAATGGATAAAACATTAAAAATCAATGTAATAAACACTGGCTATAACGCTACTATGTTTTCCGGGCATCCTCATTTGATTCATCAGCGGAATTTCTAATGCCATGTGAATGCAACGGGAAGACTGATTGGAGTGCACACGGGCTCTATTGGACCATTTTCAGGTTGCTGTATTCACGGGCTAAAATAGCAGGAAAATGTGTTTGCGACCGTCTAATTTTCATAAATTTAATTTCTGCCTCATCTGGAATCCAGGTGGGCATAAAGTGGTATTTCGATTCCAAAGCCACTAATTATTGGGTTCACATACACACATTGTATGTAAATCATATCTAATGCACTTAAATAATGAGTGACGGATTTAAACATAAATAGAATTATAATTTGGTAAACATAGCGTGTTCCGTGGGAATCAGAATATCATGTTTAACACGTGATTGGAAATTTACTAATTGCATCATACACTGTAACCATCCAATCAAATTTACTATTTGCAAAATCTTGTCCGCGAGAGCACCATGCAGGGGGTGATAACCCTTGGGTCAGGGATTTGGACCAAATTTTTTCTGTGAGATGGGTTAGTACCCAGATACATCCCCACAAAATGTTAGATTGATTCAGTTGATACCGACCTGGAAAATTGGAAAAGTATTTTTTAATCGAAAAATAAGCCAAAAATAGGCAATTTTGGATCCAAATTTGAATGACCTGCTATCCGGACAATAATTGATTAGGATAGACAAAATTTTGGGCATTAGTAGGACCACTCAGGTTCCTCCTTCACACTGATTTTGAAGTTTCTACTGCTTATGCTACCTTGGTACTGGCCGGATACCCAACTCTCTCTGAAAATTGAATTTAATGAAAACCAATGTTTAAGAGACTATAGCTCGTTCTTTGCAGGGACTAGGACCGAAGTTGAATGTTACCCACAACTCGCAACCTTCCTACTAACAAAATAAAAAATAAAAATGACCGGAACAGTCATAATAAAAACAGGAGAAATATATTAAAAACACCAAAAATTAGGATAAAATGTCCCGTCTATCAATACCCCAGATGAAGTATATGTATGGACATCTTTACAAATTTAATATATTCCATTTAGTCGTTAGCAAGGATGATTTACACATGAGAGGAACAAAGTAAAATGAGATTTAAAGTCCACTGGACACAAACTAGGTCATTTGGGACTAGCATAATATGGTGATGCATACTGTATCTATGGACATCATCACAAAGTTAATATATTCGTTAGCAAGGGTGATTTTGAGTTAAGAGAGAGAAATGGAGTTTAAGGTCCACTCAACACAAACTAGGTCATTTTGGGACTAACATATGGTACAATTTCACTTCAATAATACACTTGTGGGAAAAGAGAATATCCATGAGGTTGAACAAACAACACCACACCATGTCACCGGCATGCTGTCACACCACTTAACTCAATGACAGACCTTAGGATCTAAAGTCTATGTGTTAGACCAGGGACAAGTTTCATGAATGTCCAATGCAATTTAAACAGAACAAATCGTCTTCTATAAATATGATATAATGAAAGGTGAAATATGATACACGATTCAGTGTAAGCATATTTTAGCTCTTGGGTAAAAGAAGTGTTTCTGAGGGATGTACTTGTAACAGGTTTTAAGGATGAGGGGATTGTAGATGATCCAGTGACAGTAAGTCGTAGTCACACAATCAGCAAGACGACCATACAACACCTTTTCTGCCAATGTTCCTTGTGCCAAATAGGTTATTTTGGTCAAACATATTTTAGGAATCAGACCACCTTATTCCCATCTGTATTTAGGAGCCGATCATTGTATGGAAACATTTGGACGTTTTCATGGAGAGGCATTACAGATCGGGAGGCTATGATAATTCCATATTGAAATCCCTGAAGGAGAAGAGGTCAAAAACAGTACTCCAAAATAAAACAGTACTCTGTGGTCCAAAAACCTTGAAGGAAGGTCAGAGCGCATTTACACTCGAACGTAGGAATCTAAGTAAGTGAGCACTTCTGCTCGAACGTAGGTATATGTAGGAGTTTGGCACATGCTGTCAACATTATCCTGGAGTGCCATAAATCCTGTTTTGATCTATGCCATGATTCAGAGATTTCAATACCAGACATTAAATGTCCCTACATGAACACTTCTGAATGTTTCTTCTTATAGTTCTTCTTTACATGAGCAGGTGTGCAAATTAAAAGATATCAAGTTTATGATAGTCATGTCAGTCAAATTTATACGATGATCTGCTCATGAATACAGATCTTAATAACAGTGGTCTGATCCCTGCAAAATTACACACCACTCATGACCCTTCCCTATGGCTATCAAGCAAGCGTGAAAGTCAGATTTTGTCACAAAAATATTATGATTTTAAACAAAATGATCTATTTGACACGATTCACGTTGAAATTACGAAATATTACAAGTAATGGTGATGATCAGTAGTCATTTGAAGATAATCGTTGGTCATTGCTGAAAAGGTGCTGCTTTGGTTAAATTGTGCTAATATAAAAGCTTGCTATGCCAGTCCTTACATTTATGCACTTCCGTGCTACTAACTACTGAATACAGGTGAGAATAATCGTTGCCTGATCCTGCAAAATTATACACCAGTTAAGCCCCTTTCACGATGACCGCGAACGTCCGATTTTGTCACAAAAACTTCATGATTTTTAACCAAGATAGTATATTTGGCACAAGGAACGTTCAAGTAACAAAAAATAGTACTAATGTTCATAATCAACGGTGATTTGAACTCTTGAAAATAGTATTCGGTCATTAGTGAAAAGACGAATTTCGTGGAAAATACCGTTTTTACACATTTTCAGAATATTACAGCACTCTAGTGGGTTGCGTTCCGGTCAGTTTTTTTCTTTTGACATTTACTTTGAGAAATGCCCTTCACAACCACACCAAGCAATTCTATGTCAGACCTGCAAAGAAGCAGCTACATGCGTTTTAGGATAGCATAGTTTTAAACATATGTAAAATGACCACTTTATGATCACTCACAGAAAATTCCACATGATTCATTCATTCCCAAACGACTGCAGGATTTTAAGACGACTACTAGGCCTATCATACCTGACCAATATCAAAAATTTAGAGACACAACTTTTCGGGTAGGAGCGTTTTGAAATTAGGGTAACAAATTGGTCGAAATATGTCAACTTTTGCCCAAAAACAACAATTTCCAGTTATACCGGAAGTTGTCAGTTCAAAATTTTTTCACTCCATCATGTGACTTCTGTCGCCTAGGGGTCCCCATAGACCAAGTATGGTTGAAATTTGCTGACCCCCCCGGGTTATCGTTTTTTTCAATTTCTGCATGGTGCTCTCGTGGACACGCTCTTAAAAAAGCAATTCTGTTAAAAAGCCCAAACCAGCCATTTAAGATCTAGATGTCGTTGGGTTCCGGACAGATACCATCTGAGTTCCTAGAGACTGCCTCTGAATTCTCAGAGAGGGTAGACATCACATTGGTCCTTCAAACGACCATATATGATGTAGCCGCTTCCTGAGTCTAGCCATGCTGGTTAGACTTTTACGGGGTCAGGAGTTGGGGTTGAGCGAGAGAGATGTTAATTTTAAGTATGCTAATGTAATCTATTATGCTTAAATCTACGCAATTCAGTGCTTTATATAAAATGTAGAATTGAACTGTTGCATTGTTATTCTTGGTAAGATAAACGTCTTAACTACTGAGATAGTAAGAAGAAAATACACAGCGTGAAAAGGAAACAAAGAAGACAATTACAAATACTAGACGATCACAAGGCTATTAAGATATGTAGTAAGAAAAGAGTGCATGGTCATAAATAGGGTGTGGCAACCGGTTTTAGTGGTCCTACTTGTCCGCTTTCCACGTCTGACAAAGGACCCATTGTACTACAGACTATATCTTATTGCTGTGCCCGTGGGTCGGAATAGCAGGAAAACACGTTTGCGGTCGTCTAAATTTCAAAGAAATTCTGGAGGAGGCCCCCATCACTGCCCGACGTCGTGCTTCTCCCCTTCGGCGCTCGGTGGCGCTCGACTTTGTCGGCCGCGAAGGACATTTTTCGGACACTTCCATTACTGCTCCAAAAAGCTATCGGGCTCGTATACTTATGGTATATATTGAAGAATCCTCGACTTCTACTGTCACTGGTTTGTTAGGTTAGACCCTACAGAAAGGTAAAACTTTACATTTGAAAGCACCAAACGGCAACAGCATGTGGCCATTAATAACTTTTCACCCACCGCATATATATATTAAAGAAGCCTTATGCGATAGTGGATATTCGAAAGAATATTTATGTAATTTTTATTGTCCTTCCATACGTGCTATACATTTAGGAGATGGCAATCCAAGTTCACAATTATGTAGCTCCAATTTGCTTATACCAAGAAAGTATTCAAGGACGGGTTTAA